GACCGGGCCGCGGGGGCGTTGACCCCCGGAACTCTATCCAGGTAAACTCCAGGTAAACTGGTGTGGGTCACATCTTGGGTGTTAGTGGACTGGTGTGGGTCACATCCTGGGTGTTAGTGGACTGGTGTGGGTCACATTCTGGGTGTTAGTAGACTGGTGTGGGTCACATCCTGGGTGTTAGTGGACTGGTGTGGGTCACATCCTGGGTGTTAGTGGACTGGTGTGGGTCACATCCTGGGTGTTAGTGGACTGGTGTGGGTCACATTCTGGGTGTTACTGGACTGGTGTGGGTCACATCCTGGGTATTAGTGGACTGGTGTGGGTCACATCCTGGGTGTTAGTGGACTGGTGTGGGTCACATCCTGGGTGTTAGTGGGCTGGTGTGGGTCACATCCTGGGTGTTAGTGGACTGGTGTGGGTCACATCCTGGGTGTTAGTGGACTGGTGTGGGTCACATCCTGGGTGTTAGTGGACTGGTGTGGGTCACATCCTGGGTGTTAGTGGACTGGTGTGGGTCACAATCTGGGTGTTAGTGGACTGGTGTGGGTCACGTCCTGGGTGTTAGTGGACTGGTGTGGGTCACATCCTGGGTGTTTGTGGACTGGTGTGGGTCACATTCTGGGTGTTAGTGGACTGGTGTGGGTCACATTTTGGGTGTTAGTGGACTGGTGTGGGTCACATTCTGGGTGTTAGTGGACTGGTGTGGGTCACATTCTGGGTGTTAGTGGACTGGTGTGGGTCACATCCTGGGTGTTTGTGGACTGGTGTGGGTCACATCCTGGGTGTTAGTGGACTGGTGTGGGTCACATTCTGGGTGTTAGTGGACTGGTGTGGGTCACATCCTGGGTGTTAGTAGACTAGTGTGGGTCACATCCTGGGTATTAGTGGACTGGTGTGGGTCACATCCTGGGTGTTAGTGGACTGGTGTGGGTCACATTCTGGGTGTTAGTAGACTGGTGTGGGTCACATCCTGGGTATTAGTGGACTGGTGTGGGTCACATCCTGGGTGTTAGTGGACGGGTGTGGGTCACATCCTGGGTGTTAGTGGACTGGTGTGGGTCACATCCTGGGTGTTAGTGGACGGTGTGGGTCACATCCTGGTGTCAGTGGACTGGTGTGGGTCACATCCTGGGTGTTAGTGAACTGGTGTGGGTCACATCCTGGATGTTAGTGGACTGGTGTGGGTCACATCCTGGGTGTTAGTGGACTGGTGTTTGTCACATCCTGGGTGTTAGTGGACTGGTGTGGGTCACATCCTGGGTGTTAGTGGACTGGTGTGGGTCACATCCTGGGTGTTAGTGGACTGGTGTGGGTCACATCCTGGGTGTTAGTGGACTGGTGTGGGTCACATTCTGGGTGTTAGTAGACTGGTGTGGGTCACATTCTGGGCGTTAGTGGACTGGTGTGGGTCACATCCTGGGTGTTAGTGGACTGGTGTGGGTCACATCCTGCGTGTTAGTGGACTGGTGTGGGTAACATCCTGGGTGTTAGTGGACTGGTGTGGGTCACATCCTGGGTGTTGGTGGACTGGTGTGGGTCACATCCTGGGTGTTAGTGGACTAGTGTGGGTCACATCCTGGGTGTTAGTGTACTGGTGTGGGTCACATCCTGGGTGTTAGTGGACTGGAGTGGGTCACATCCTGGGTGTTTGTGGATTGGTGTGGGTCACATCCTGGGTGTTAGTGGACTGGTGTGGGTCACATCCTGGGTGTTAGTGGACTGGTGTGGGTCACTTCCTGGGTGTTAGTGGACTGGTGTGGGTCACATCCTGGGTGTTAATGGACTGGTGTGGGTCACATCCTGGTGTTAGTGGACTGGTGTGGGTCACATCCTGGGTATTAGTGGACTGGTGTGGGTCACATCCTGGGTGTCAGTGGACTGGTGTGGGTCACACCCTGAGTGTTAGTAGACTGGTGTGGGTCACATCCTGGGTGTTAGTGGACTGGTGTGGGTCACATCCTGGGTGCTAGTGGACTGGTGTGGGTCACATCCAGGGTGCTAGTGGACTGGTGTGGGTCACATCCAGGGTGTTAGTGGACTGGTGTGGGTCACATCCTGGGTGTTAGTGGACTGGTGTGGGTCACATCCTGGGTGTTAGTGGACTGGTGTGGGTCACATCCTGGGACAAAACTGACCTAATTTGCGGGAAATGCTCAGCATAACAAGCGGCTTTCTATATAGTAGTATGTCATTGATGTCAGCTATGATCTGTATACCTTGTACATGTACTTGTATACCATGTACATGTACTTGTATACCTTGTACATGTACTTGTATACCTCGTACATGTGCTTGTATACCTCGTACATGTACTTGTATACCTCGTACATGTACATGTATACCTCGTACATGTACTTGTATACCTTGTACATGTACTTGTATACCTTGTACATGTACTTGTATACCTTGTACATGTACTTGTATACCTCATACATGTACTTGTATACCTTGTACATGTACTTGTATACCTCATACATGTACTTGTATACCTTGTACATGTACTTGTATACCTCATACATGTACTTGTATACCTTGTACATGTACTTGTATACCTTGTACATGTTTACCTGGAGTTTTCCTGGAGAGAGTTTCGGGGGTCAACGCCCCCGCGGCCCGGTCTGTGACCAGGCCTCCTGGTGTATCAGCCCCTGATCAACCAGGCTGTTGCTGCTGGCTGCACGCAAACCAACGTACGAGCCACAGCCCGGCTGATCAGGAACTGACTTTAGGTGCTTGTCTAGCGCCAGCTTTAAGACTGCCAGGGGTCTGTTGGTAATCCCCCTTATGTGTGCTGGGAGGCAGTTGAACAGTCTCGGGCCCCTGACACTTATTGTATGGTCTCTTAACGTGCTAGTGACACCCCTGCTTTTCATTGGGGGGATGGTGCATCGTCTGCCAAGTCTTTTGCTTTCGTAGTGAGTGATTTTCGTGTGCAAGTTCGGTACTAGTCCCTCTAGGATTTTCCAGGTGTATATAATCATGTATCTCTCCCTCCTGTGTTCCAGGGAATACAGGTTTAGAAACCTCAAGCGCTCCCAGTAATTGAGGTGTTTTATCTCCGTTATGCGCGCCGTGAAAGTTCTCTGTACATTTTCTAGGTCGGCAATTTCACCTGCCTTGAAAGGTGCTGTTAGAGTGCAGCAATATTCCAGCCTAGATAGAACAAGTGACCTGAAGAGTGTCATCATGGGCTTGGCCTCCCTAGTTTTGAAGGTTCTCATTATCCATCCTGTCATTTTTCTAGCAGATGCGATTGATACAATGTTATGGTCCTTGAAGGTGAGATCCTCCGACATAATCACTCCCAGGTCTTTGACGTTGGTGTTTCGCTCTATTTTGTGGCCAGAATTTGTTTTGTACTCTGATGAAGATTTAATTTCCTCATGTTTACCATATCTGAGTAATTGAAATTTCTCATCGTTGAACTTCATATTGTTTTCTGTAGCCCACTGAAAGATTTGGTTGATGTCCGCCTGGAGCCTTGCAGTGTCTGCAATGGAAGACACTGTCATGCAGATTCGGGTGTCATCTGCAAAGGAAGACACGGTGCTGTGGCTGACATCCTTGTCTATGTCGGATATGAGGATGAGGAACAAGATGGGAGCTAGTACTGTGCCTTGTGGAACAGAGCTTTTCACCGTAGCTGCCTCAGACTTTACTCTGTTGACGACTACTCTCTGTGTTCTGTTAGTGAGGAAATTATAGATCCATCGACCGACTTTTCCTGTTATTCCTTTAGCACGCATTTTGTGTGCTATTACGCCATGGTCACACTTGTTGAAGGCTTTTGCAAAGTCTGTATATATTACATCTGCATTCTTTTTGTCTTCTAGTGTATTTAGGACCTTGTCGTAGTGATCCAATAGTTGAGACAGACAGGAGCGACCTGTTCTAAACCCATGTTGCCCTGGGTTGTGTAACTGATGGGTTTCTAGATGGGTGGTGATCTTGCTTCTTAGGACCCTTTCAAAGATTTTTATGATATGGGATGTTAGTGCTATTGGTCTGTAGTTCTTTGCTATTGCTTTACTGCCCCCTTTGTGGAGTGGGGCTATGTCTGTTGTTTTTAGTAACTGAGGGACGACCCCCGTGTCCATGCTCCCTCTCCATAGGATGGAAAAGGCTCGTGATAGGGGCTTCTTGCAGTTCTTGATGAACACAGAGTTCCATGAGTCTGGCCCTGGGACAGAGTGCATGGGCATGTCATTTATCGCCTGTTCGAAGTCATTTGGCGTCAGGATAACATCGGATAGGCTTGTGTTAATCAAATTTTGTGGCTCTCTCATAAAAAATTCATTTTGATCTTCGACTCTCAGTCTGGTTAGCGGCTTGCTAAAAACTGAGTCATATTGGGACTTGAGTAGCTCACTCATTTCCTTGCTGTCATCTGTGTAGGACCCATCTTGTTTAAGTAGGGGCCCAATACTGGACGTTGTTCTCGATTTTGATTTGGCATAGGAGAAGAAATACTTTGGGTTTCTTTCGATTTCATTTATGGCTTTTAGTTCTTCCCGCGATTCCTGACTCCTAAAGGATTCTTTTAGCTTAAGTTCGATGCTTGCTATTTCTCTGACCAGTGTCTCCCTACGCATTTCAGATATATTGACCTCTTTTAGCCGCTCTGTTATTCTTTTCCGTCGCCTGTAAAGGGAGCGCCTGTCTCTTTGTATTTTACATCTACTCCTCCTTTTTCTTAGAGGAATAAGCCTTGTGCATACATCGAGTGCCACCGAGTTAATCTGTTCTAGGCATAAGTTTGGGTCTGTGTTGCTTAGTGTATCTTCCCAGCTTATATCGGTTAGGACTTGGTTTACTTGGTCCCACTTTACTTGTATACCTTGTACATGTACTTGTATACCTCATACATGTACTTGTATACCTTGTACATGTACTTGTATACCTCATACATGTACTTGTATACCTTGTACATGTACTTGTATACCTTGTACATATACTGGTAGAAATAAAGATATTATTATAATGGATAATAAAACAAAATGAACATGTAAATTGCCTTCACAATAAGCTTTTATGTGAATGTCCAACATTACAATGACATCTTGGGGACGGCGAACAGCAGTAGTTTCACACAACTTTTGATTTTAATTACAAAATCATATGCATGTAATTGTCCTCTTTGGATATCCTCCCCGATTCATTTACTGTACTACGACTCAAACATTTAAATACTACGACAGACAGTAGAAGTTGTATAAATAGTATGTTAAGGCTAAATATAAAAGTGAGGCCACTCCTCTAGTCACACGCATTATAACTTTAATCTGTAATTACATATGACTTAAATGACACATAAGACTATCAAGCAATGGCCTCAGTCATATAGAAACATCGTCAGCAGTTTTACACTGTACAGCTTACCTTTATATAAGGTTACACTGATGTGTAGACATTTTCATCCACACATTTATGGGGTGTACAAAATGGAATAAAGAATACATTGGTGTCGTGGTTCTTGCCCTCAGACTCGAAGGTTACTAAGGTGGATTATTTCTGAACAGAGCAACACTGGAGAGCAAACAGTTTGTGGAGTCCTTCCTAACAATGTTGATCCAAATTTTAAAAACTATAAATGTTAGCAACTGACCTACATGGAATATGGTAACTGCTCATATCTAAAATGAATACTGTACAATCACCAAATGCATATAAATTACTATTAATACTTCTCATACTACAGCAGACTTCAGCAGAACTCTGTATAATTATCATTTTATCCTGATGGAAAGTTTCATTTTATTCCATCCTCATCCTACACACTAGTTGCTTTTTAAATCTTTACCGTTACAAAAAGCATTTCCTAGTCTGTTTCTGCTACTTTAACTATAAGTGTGTGTTAGATCAGAGTAAGTAGAGACAAGGGAATTTCAGGATTTGAATCACTGTTGGAGTATGAATCAGTTAACATCTATAAAGGAATTCAGGGAAGCTAAATATCCAAATTTAAATTCTGGAGGTAATAAGATGTTGCATTTCAGTGAATCATTGAGACTATGAGTCCAAGCTCTTCCGGAAAGACAGCAAAGATATTAGTGATGATGACTGTTTCCCTCCATTGTATCCTGGTGCCTTAGTAGGAAATGATTGAGGTGTTAAAAAATATCTACACGTTGTTAGGTACTCCCTAAAATAGTTATCGTCAACCTTCCTACACAAGTGGACTACATTTGATGGTTTAGTGTGTGATGAGAGTCGCATGGTCTTGTTGACACTGTGCAATGTGGAACCTACATAAAAGTGAATTCATAATTTCATGTGAGGGGCCACATTCATTTCCCAGGAGTGCCACATGTGGCCCGTGGGCTGCAGGTTGGGGACCCCGCTCTAAGACGTAAAAAACAGTACCTATTTACCTACGTTTGTCTCCATCATTCTGTCTGCTCTCCCTGTGGCTGTTGAGCAACACCTTCATACATGAACTAGTAGAAATCACAGATTACAAAATGACTGGCAAATATCATCCCTGTTGCTGAAAATGCATGGTGACACAAACAGTGATTAGTATATTGAGTCAATAAAAGTCATTTTCACATTGCAAATGACAATTAAATCATCTTTAATGCAATTCCACTTCACTTTCAATTTTGCGATCATGTCGCACTCATTATACTGACATGTGAGAAAGAGTGCATAAATGAATGCCAGAAATTATCTTCTCAAATGATTTATGGTGACACCATCCACTCATACCACTCGTTAACAAGAATTACAAGTAAATTAACATGAGTAAATCAAACATAATGATATACCAGGTACTTAAACTTTCCCATACCTTGGGTAAATCTTGGAATAAAATGTACCAGTAATCTCTCTCTCAGTCAGAATAATGTTACACTAGCAGTACTTAGGAATTTCAGAATAAGTCAGAAAATAAATATTTAAAATATTTCATGATTTACAAAGTCATGAACTATTTTAATAAGAAAAAAATTTGATTTGAGTTTAAATTTCAGAAGAATCAATTTTTCTTAACAAGAGAAAGCACTTTTTATATTTTGGTTTCAGAATTCTATGTTCTTCAGATTTATTTAAAAAAATCTGTATTCAGTACTGTATTTTAAAATAATTATATATAATGCTTTTATTAAAATAAACAGTTTTCTGTACTTCATCATATTCCATATATTCTGTATGAGAGATATTGGAGATCCCCAACAGACAAACGAGTTATTGTGTTCCAACTTACAAGTTGTAACCCAGAACCTATTTTCTCATAAGAAATAACAATGCAAATGATGGTTATGTTCCTGCACATGTTCAGAGCAGCATTTGCAAAAATTTAGTTAATTATGAAGTCCTCCATTTGTAAGTTTTTGTAACAGGCAGCATTACAAAAATGGTATACAATACAGACAAGATAATGAATTAGACACATGTGAAATGCCTGGTTGTCTTCAAATGAAGACGTTTCGCTAACCAGTGGCTTTATCAGTTCAATTCATTACTGTCTACCTGGAGGGTATTTCGGAGATCAACGCCCCCGCAGCCAGGTCCACGACCAGGCCTCCCGGTGGATGAGGGCCTGATCAATCAGGCTGTTACTGCTGGCCACACATAGTCCAATGTATGAACCACAGCCCGGCTGATATTATGTATATATTTAACCCATAAATGGTCCAAGCAGATCTACGTTCACATGTGTAGTGCTAGAAAAGTAGATCTAGGTTTTTTTACATATTTTCAAATATAACAAAAAAAAAAGTAGATCAAAGTTTTTTAACACATTTTCGAATATATAAAAACAAAAAGAAGATCTACTTCTTTTACATACTTTCAAATGTTGAAAAAACGTATATACAGTGGACCCCCGCTTAACGATCACCTCCCAATGCGACCAATTATGTAAGTGTATTTATGTAAGTGCGTTTGTACGTGTATGTTTGGGGGTCTGAAATGGACTAATCTACTTCACAATATTCCTTATGGGAACAAATTCGGTCAGTACTGGCACCTGAACATACTTCTGGAATGAAAAAATATCGTTAACCGGGGGTCCACTGTATACGTTTGGACCATTTACGGGTTAATTGATAAAGCCGCACGTTAGCAAAATATCCTCATGAAAAGATTTACTTTATCCTATATTATTTCCTTCAGTATTACAATAAATCCATTTAATTAACTTATTACATTGTAAAAAGAAATTATCGGGAATGTGTTGGTTCCCTATGACTTGTCACCTTTTTAAAGTCACTTTAGCACTGCACATCTACATTATACAGTGGACCCCCGCATAACGATTACCTCCGAATGCGACCAATTATGTAAGTGTATTTATGTAAGTGCGTTTGTACGTGTATGTTTGGGGGTCTGAAATGGACTAATCTACTTCACAATATTCCTTATGGGAATAAATTCGGTCAGTACTGGCACCTGAACATACTTATGGAGTGAAAAAATATCGTTAACCGGGGGTCCACTGTATAAATATTATTATCCTTACCAATTGTTACATTTAAATCATACCTGGAGGATATTTCAGGGGTCAGTGCCCTTGTGGCCCAGTCCATGACTAGGCCTCACAGTGGATTAGGACCTGATCAACCAGGCTTTTAATGCTGGCCACATGCAGACTGACATACGAACCACAGCCGGCTGGTCAGGTACTTGAAGTGTCTCCCTCTTGAAGACAGCCAGGATCTATTGGTAATCTCCGTTATCAAAATTATCATCACCCAGGCATTGCACACATGTCTCAATCATCATCATAACTCTGATGTTCATAATTTGGGGTCCCTGTATATTACTGTATCATACTATGTTACCACATTGGTGTTCTTCGTACAATGAAATTACTGTTTTCAGTAATTGAAGCTTCCACACCAAACACATGAGCTAGAAATTAGACAAAGTGTGATATAACTACGACAGAGTTAATGCAGCTTTGTGATAGACAGAAAATAGAAATTGTCATCTATTTGTATATATACCATAGATGTCTAAACTGTAGTGACTGATGCTTGACTTTACTGATGCAGTTATGTAGGATAATCTACAGTGATCCTGATTATAACCTAAATAATCCAAGATGACCAAAATAATGACCAGAGCAACCCAGGATGACCAGATAATGGCTAGATTAACCAAGTATCACCTAGATAATGGCTAGAGTAACCCAGGATAACCCATGCAATGGCTACAGAAACCAAGGATAACCCAGACAATGGCCAGAGTACCACTAACCCAATGATGTGACATGGCTACTAATATAATCTACAGTGAGCTGACATAAGTTATGATCGTGTATACATCCTGTGAATACCTTACACATTATCATATTGTGCACATATGCAAGCACATTGTATTTACAGCAAGTCCTCAACTTAGGAACATATTGGGGTTCTCCTGAATTGTATAATATGCATAATACAGGACATCTTTCAGTTACAAACATGTTGGGGTCCTGTATTGTGTATAATAATGATATAATGATGATATACATAATATAGAAGATTCTCAACATGTCCATAAGTAGAAGACTTACTGTATTCTAAATATATTTTATGGCTGGTGTAAAAGCACATACAGTACACACACAGTCTGTATGTGTGTGTACTCACCTAGTTGAGGTTGCAGGGGTGTGTGTGTGTGTGTGTGTGTGTGTGTGTGTGTGTGTGTGTGTGTGTGTGTGTGTGTGTGTGTGTGTGTGTGTGTGTGTGTGTGTGTGTGTGTGTGTGTGTCTGTCTGTCTGTCTGTCTGTCTGTCTGTCTGTCTGTCTGTCATGCGTAGTAGCCAGAACTGCAAATTTGGCTTATTTGAAAATTGATGTTTTTCTAAATAGGCTATACCTCTGATATACTTTTGATGAGTTCCAAGAGTTTTTGTACTTCCAGAGCCCAGCCTTGGGTCAGGCTTGTCTGGTGCTGCATGAATAATAATAATAATTTCCAATAAGATATATTTGATATAAGAGTATCTTACATGGAAAAGACCAATGTTATTGAAAGTATTTCAGGTTATAACTGGGCTCCAGATTAACCCTTAAAGTGTCCAAACGTGGATCTACATTCGATTTTACATTGTTTCTCATGTAAAAATAAATGCAGATCTACGTTCGGAGCGCTTTGCCTGCGAACTTACATCTACGTTTGGACAGTTTAAGGGTTAAGAACAGTCAGAGCAATACAAAATTTATTATAATTTATGGTAATCAGAGCTGAACGATCAGTTCAGGTTATTACTTTTAATACGAGTATAATAACTAATGTTAGATAATCTTAACTAAAGTTAAGACTGATCTTAAATAAGTTAGGTAGAACTGAGCTACATTATGTAAAATGCAATTATAATGTTAGGATGTTAAGTTTTGGTGCCCCGTGGCCTGGTGGCTAAAGCTCTCGCTTCACATGGTGAGGGTCAGGGTTTGATTCCCGGTGAGGGTAGAAACATTGGGCGTGTTTCCTTACATCAGTTGTCTATGTACCTTGGTGTTAGTTGACTGGTGTGGGTCGCATCCTGGGAGAAAACTGACCTGATTTGTGGGAAATGCTCAGCATAACAAGCAGCTTTCTATGTAGTAGTATGTCATTGATGTTGGCTATGGTCTGTATACTTGTACATGTACTTGTATACCTTGTACATGTACTTGTATACCTTGTACATGTACTTGTATACCTTGAACATGTACTTGTATACCTTGTGCATGTACTTGTATACCTTGTACATGTACTTGTATACCTTGTACATGTACTTGTATACCTTGTACATGTACTTGTATACCTTGTACATGTACTTGTATACCTTGTACATGTACTTGTATACCTTGTACATGTACTTGTATACCTTGTACATGCACTTGTATACCTTGTACATGCACTTGTATACCTTGTACATGCACTTGTATACCTTGTACATGCACTTGTATACCTTGTACATGTACTTGTATACCTTGTACATGTACTTGTATACCTTGTACATGTACTTGTATACCTTGTACATGTACTTGTATACCTTGTACATGTACTTGTATACCTTGTACATGTACTTGTATACCTTGTACATGTACTTGTATACCTTGTACATGTACTTGTATACCTTGTACATGTACTTGTATACCTTGTACATGTACTTGTATACCTTGTACATGTACTTGTATACCTTGTACATGTACTTGTAGAAATAGATATTGTTATTATTGAAATGAAAGAAAAAAGTTGCAGATCTGTTACTGTGTTAATTCTTAATCAAACCACAAAGAAAAAAAGGAAAACCAATTATTATTTTTTTTTTTTGGCCTTTCCCAGTGTGGATTAAAAGTCATTTCTTGTACTTTGTAGGAGGGGTGGGAATATTAATGTGAGGAATGACAAGTGTTTTTTTTTCTTTTTTTAGGGTCACGCTACCTTGGTGGGAGATGGTCAATTATTTGACCACATCTTTGCCCTGTTAGTTTTCATGAAGTTTATCACTCTCTTCTCTCATTTTTATTCCTCTCATTAGTTTTATATCATCATCAAACACTGACACACAGGACTCAAACCCCTCTGATAAGTTATTCATGTTTATTAAAAACAGTAGCAGTTCTAGTACTGATCCTTTTGGGACCCTACTAGTTATTCTCTTCCATTCTGATTACTTATCCCTTATTGTTACTCTCTGCCAGTGGCCTGGTGGCTAAAGCTCCCGCTTCACACACGGAGGGCCCGGGTTCGGTTCCTGGTGGGCGGAAACATTTCGACACGTTTCCTTACACCTGTTGTCCTGTTCACCTAGCAGCAAATAGGTACCTGGGTGTTAGTCGACTGGTGTGGGTGGCATCTTGGGGGACAAGATTAAGGACCCCAATGGAAATACGTTAGACAGTCCTCGATGACGCACTGACTTTCTTGGGTTATCCTGGGTGGCTAACCCTCCGGGGTTAAAAATTCGAACGAAATCTTATCTTATCTTACCCTGACAATTTGGAGCACTCCCTCTTGACACTGCCTGTTCATCCATTATTTAGGTACTTCCTGACAAACTGGAGCACTCTACCTTTTAACACTACCTATTCCTCTATTTTCTCTACTAATATCTGGTGTTGTACTTTGTCTACCCAGCTGGCAAACCTCTCACCTCACATGCTGAAGGTCTGGGATCAATTCCCGGTGAAGGTGGAAACATTGGATGCGTTTCCTTACACCTGTTATCCTGTTCACCTAACAAGTAGGGACCTTGGTGTTAGTTGACTGGTGTGGGTCGCATCCTGGGGACAAAATTGAGGACCCCAATGGAAATAAGACAGTCTCTCGATGATGGTCTGTTTTTATTGGGTTATCCTGGGTGACTAACCCTCTGGGTTAAAAAATCCACACAAAATCTTATCTTACCTGGGGAAGGGTTAGCCACCCAGGATAATGCAAGGAAGTCAGTGTTTCTTCGGGGTGTCTATTTTATTTCCATTGTGGTTCTTCAGTCTTGTCCCTCAGGATGCCACCCACACCAGTCCACTGATACTCAGGTACCTACTTACTGCTTGGTGAACAGGAATAGCAGGTGTGAGGAAACACGCTTAATGTTTCCACCCAGCTGGGGATTGAACCACAGGCAGTGTGTGAGGTGAGTGCATTGCCTACCCAGCAGGGTTGCAGGGACTGAATCTTTGTTAATTTGTGAGCATGTGTGTGCATGTACATAATCCTGATTTTAACACCTTAATAAATAAATACCCATCCTTTACAAGCTACTTTTGCTATTGACATGTCAATACATTTTATGTATAAAAAAATTATGGTAAATTACAACTCAATGAACAGTGAAACCAGATTAATGTAATTGTTCACCAATGCATTGATGATGTTTGAAACTTATGGATAGTAAGGATAAACCAGACATCAGGGTTTGGTAAAAATACTCCAAAATGCAAGATAAAATGATATTTTATATATATACACACACACGTATATATATTATATGTATATTATTATTTTTATTATTAGCACACTGGCTGATTCCCACCAAGGCAGGGTGGCCCGAAAAAGAAAAACTTTCACCATCATTCACTCCATCACTGTCTTGCCAGAAGGGTGCTTTACACTACAGTTTTTAAACTGCAACATTAACACCCCTCCTTCAGAGTGCAGGCACTGTACTTCCCATCTCCAGGACTCAAGTCCGGCCTGCCGGTTTCCCTGAATCCCTTCATAAATGTTACTTTGCTCACACTCCAACAGCACATCAAGTATTAAAAACCATTTGTCTCCATTCACTCCTATCAAACACGCTCACGCATGCCCGCTGGAAGTCCAAGCCCCTCGCACACAAAACCTCCTTTACCCCCTCCCTCCAACCTTTCCTAGACCGACCCCTACCCCGCCTTCCTTCCACTACAGATTGATACACTCTTGAAGTCATTCTGTTTCGCTCCATTCTCTCTACATGTCCGAACCACCTCAACAACCCTTCCTCAGCCCTCTGGACAACAGTTTTGGCAATCCCGCACCTCCTCCTAACTTCCAAACTACGAATTCTCTGCATTATATTCACACCACACATTACCCTCAGACATGACATCTCCACTGCCTCCAGCCTTCTCGCTGCAACATTCATCACCCATGCTTCACACCCATATAAGAGCATTTGTAAAACTGTACTCTCATACATTCCCCTCTTTGCCTCCAAGGACAAAGTTCTTTGTCTTCACAGACTTCTAAGTGCACCACTCACCCTTTTCCCCTCATCAATTCTATGATTCACCTCATCTTTCATAAACCCATCTGCTGACACATCCACTCCCAAATATCTGAATACATTCACCTCCTCCATACTCTCTCCCTCCAATCTGATATCCAGTCTTTCAGTGCCTTAGTGTGCGCAACAAGGCCAACAGATTACTTGGATTTATCTCAAGAAGTATAAGTAACAGAAGTCCAAAAGTTATTTTACAGCTCTATACATCACTAGTGAGGCCTCATTTAGATTATGCTGCTCAGTTTTGGTCCCCTTACTACAGGATGGACATAGACTCATTAGAGAACATACAGAGAAGAATGACTAAAATGATTTACTGTGTAAGGAACCTCCCGTATGAAGATAGACTTAAAGCCTTAAATCTCCACTCTCTGGAGAGGCGTAGAATGAGGGGAGATATCATTGAAGTGTATAAGTGGATGACGGGAATAAACAAGGGAGACATTAATAAAGTACTGAGGGTGTCGAACCAGGTAAGAACCAGGAATAATGGATTTAAGTTGGATAAATTTAGATTTAGAAAGGACATAGGTAAGTACTGGTTTTCTAACAGAGTTGTAGATACGTGGAACAGTCTTCCCAGTGGGGTGATAGAGGCTAGGACCTTGGGTAGCTTTAAGAAGAGACTGGACAGATATATGAGTGGGAGGGGCTGGGTTTGATTGGTGTCATGGGGTACGGGAGTTATTTCTTGGCTAGCTTTAGGTAGATGTCGTTTTGATAAGGACCTGCCTCGTATGGGCCAGTAGGCCTTCTGCAGTGTTCCTACATTCTTATGTTCTTATGTTCTTATCACCTAATCTTTTTGTTATCCTCATAACCTTACTCTTTCCTGTATTCACTTTTAATTTTCTTCTTTTACATACCCTACCAAATTCATTCACCAACCTTTGCAACTTCTCTTCGGAATCTCCCAAGAGCACAGTGTCATCAGCAAAGAGCAACTGTGACAACTCCCACTTTATGTGTGATTCTTTATCTTTTAACTCCACACCTCTTGCCAAGACCCCCCACGGTGACATCACATATCCTTGTCTAAGGCCTACTTTTACTGGAAAATAATCTCCCACTTTCCTACATACTCTAACTTGAGCCTCACTATCCTCGTAAAAACTCTTCACTGCTTTCAGTAACCTACTTCCTATACCATACACCTGCAACATCTGCCCCATTGCCCCCCTATCCACCCTGTCATACGCCTTTTCTAAATCCATAAATGCCACAAAACCTCTTTAGCCTTATCTAAATACTGTTCACTTATATGTTTCACTGTAAACACCTGGTCCACACACCCCCTACCTTTCTTAAAGCTTCCTTGTTCATCTGCTATCCTATTCTCCATCTTACTCTTAATTCTTTCAATAATAACTCTACCATACACTTTACCAGGTATACTCAACAGACTTATCCCCCTATAATTTTTACACTCTCTTTTGTCCCCCTTGCCTTTATACAAAGGAACTATGCATGCTCTCTGCCAATCTCTAGGTACCTTACCCTCTTCCATACATTTATTAAATAATAGCACCAACCACTCCAAAACTATATCCCCACCTGCTTTTAACATTTCTATCTTTATCCCATCAATCCCGGCTGCCTTACCCTCTTTCATTTTACCTACTGCCTCACGAACTTCCCCCACACTCTCAACTGGCTCTTCCTCACTCCTACAAGATGTTATTCCTCCTTGCCCTATACATGAAATCACAGCTTCCCTATCTTCATCAGCATTTAACAATTCCTCAAAATATTCCCTCCATCTTCCCAATACCTCTAACTCTCCATTTAATAACTCTCCTCTCCTATTTTTAACTGACAAATCCATTTGTTCTCTAGGCTTCCTTAACTTGTTAATCTCACTCCAAAACTTTTTCTTATTTTCAACAAAATTTGTTGATAACATACCCATTCTCTCATTTGCTCTCTTTTTACATTGCTTCACCACTCTCTTAACCTCTCTCTTTTTCTCCATATACTCTTCCCTCCTTGCATCACTTCTACTTTGTAAAAACCTCTCATATGCTAACTTTTTCTCCCTTACTACTCTCTTTACATCATCATTCCACCAATCGCTCCTCTTCCCTCCCGCACCCACTTTCCTGTAACCACAAACTTCTGCTGAACACTCTAACACTACATTTTTAAACCTACCCCATACCTCTTTGACCCCATTGCCTATGCTCTCATTAGCCCATCTATCCTCCAATAGCTGTTTATATCTTACCCTAACTGCCTCCTCTTTTAGTTTATAAACCTTCACCTCTCTCTTCCCTGATGCTTCTATTCTCCATGTATCCCATCTACCTTTTACTCTCAGTGTAGCTACAACTAAAAAGTGATCTGATATATCTGTGGCCCCTCTATAAACATGTACATCCTGAAGTCTACTCAACAGTCTTTTATCTACCAATACATAATCCAACAAACTACTGTCATTTCACCCTACATCATATCTTGTATACTTATTTATCCTCTTTTTCTTAAAATATGTATTACCTATAACTAAACCCCTTTCTATACAAAGTTCAATCAAAGGGCTCCCATTATCATTTACACCTGGCACCCCAAACTTACCTACCACACCCTCTCTAAAAGTTTCTCCTACTTTAGCATTCAGGTCCCCTACCACAATTACTCTCTCACTTGGTTCAAAGGTTCCTATACATTCACTTAACATCTCCCAAAATCTCTCTCTCCTCTACATTCTTCTCTTCTCCAGGTGCATACACGCTTATTATGACCCACTTTTCGCATCCAACCTTTACTTTAATCCACATAATCCTTGAATTTACACATCTTATCGAAAAGTGAATAATGAATGCACACCATCATTACTCAAGAACTAGGGAGATGGTGAATATTTACAGGCACAGAGCAAACCTTTATTGCAGCTTGGTTCTAGAGTTTCTGTATAGGAGTTAGGGATAGCAGTCCGGTTGGAAAAGAGTTCTCTTGTACTTGCCTTGAAGCTCAATTATTATTATCATTATTATTGTCAGGGGTGGCAATCTTGTTGGATCAGAGCGCTAGGGAATTTATTTTGAGGCTGTTTTTATAATTACCTGGTATTATTATTTTATATTTGATGGACTTAGGGAGAGAGATTGAAGGGAAACCCTCAGCCTTCCCCTCAGCACCACAACTGACATTTTATTCAATGTACAATTGTTATCGATACACCAGGAGTGTTCCAAGTTTAAGGAAATACAGAGAACATTTCTGTCAGTACAGCAGAAGAGAACATGGCTGTTATTCTGGCCCGGTTAAACACTGAGTGAAAACTATCACAATAAAACTTGCTGTGCACCTGTGTCATTTGTTTTATTACTGTCAGCAGGAAAAAGATTAGCTACAAAACTAAATTTTTCCATAGTATGAAGCCACAGTGGCCCGACGTCTAGTGGCAAAAGCTCTCGCTTCACACGGTGTATGTCTGGGTTTAATTACCTACGAGGGTAGAAACATGGGGCGTGTTTCCTTACACCGGTTGTCTACTGTGTTCACCCTTTCCTTTCAATGCACCGGCCATATCCCACCAAAGCAGAATGGCCCAAAAAGAAAAAGAAAAGTTTCTCTTTTTAACTATGGTAATATATACAGAAGGTGTTATTAGCCCCTTGCTCCAGGCATTTTAGTCGTCTCTTACAATACGCATGGCTCATGGAGGAAGAATTCTATCCCATTTTTCCTTGGAGATAAGAGGAACTAAACAAGAACAAGACCTAGTAAGAAAAGAGAAGAAATCCCAGAGGGGTGTGTTTGTACATACGTATATATGTTTGTACACATATGTGTAGTAGTACATCATTCGTGTCAGCTTAGCTTGTATACCTTGTACATGTACTTATAGAAATAAAGATATTATTTATTATTATTATTATTATTATTATTATTATTATTATTATTATTATTATTATTATTAACTACTGCTTGTTTTGAATATTTTTCTGTTAGTGAAATTTATTAGGTTTGGGGTACCAAAAGTTTAAAGATCTTTGGTTGCAGCCCAGGAGCTGTACAGTACCAGTATAAAACACCCTTTTCAAGAACTTTGTTTTACTCCTAAGATTTTTGAAGGCTTTATGAATGTCTATTTAGGAAGGATCTGTCATTTTTTAATCTGTTTTATGATTATATTATACAGCCTCTAATCACTTAACGATGGAGTTCCGTTCCTTAGACCATGTTGGTAAACGAATTCTTCGCTAAGTAAGGAGCATACTATAATGGTAATGGGTTTGTGTCAACCATCTCTGATATTGTTTTAATGTCACTTTTGCACCATTTATAATATTTCTGGTATATTTATAAATGTTTATAAAGTAATGTACTATATATTGTAATACGCAGAATAGAGGAAATCAGCTCTAATATACATACATTATTTAGGTATGCATACTGGTCAAAGAGCCCGTCATAAGTCCGAGTCGTCAGTAAACGAGTACGTCGCTAAGTGAGGAGAAGCTGTACTGTATAGCCCTTTTTCTAACTCATGAATTTGAAGTGAATGAGGAAGCATATTACTGGAAATAAATACAATTGCATAAAATACAAATTACTCTATAGAATGATAATTTTAACTGAAGTTTCAGTATGGGTTGTGGCAGTGTGATTTTGTTTCCATACACACCATACATATATTATCATTCCTATCTTCTCTGTACACACACATGAATACACACAAAGCAAACATACAAACATAAATGTAGATATATACACATATATGCATGTAAAACAAACGTATGCATACACGCACACACACACGCACAATATTTTTATTTTGGGTCACTGTTATAATAGGTTTTGAAATTAGAAGTGACTACCATACTAATATACCATCTCCCTACAGCACAATGCATTTTGGAATGACAACTCTGAACTATATTTCTTCTAAACTTAATGAAGAGATATAGTTTAGTGATATGATTTTAATAAACTTACTAGAGAACAGAATGAGGTACTGTATATAAATGCACATTAAAGCGACTCTTTAAATTCCCATCTAAAAGAAAAATTTTATATGCACTTAGCATTTCAAAATGATTTTCATGGTTTAGATATACAGTGGACCCTCAACCAGCGATGGCATTGATTAACGATAAATCTGACTAGCGATACATTTTAACGCAAAAATTTTGCCTCGACTAGCACTTAAAAACCCGACCAGCGCTATTCATTCCGTACGAGATGCGTCCACTTTGGCCTGAGCGCCCAGTGTTTACAAGCCAGCCAGCCACCTCGGTCGCTTCCAAGCATACAATCGGAACATTTCATATTATCAGAGCCTTTTTAGTGATTGCACCTGCAAAATAAGCCACCATGGGCCCCAAGAAAGCTTCTAGTGCCAACCCTACAGCAAAAAGGGTGAGAATTACTATGGATATGAAGAAAGAGATCATTGCTAAGTATGAAAGTGGAGAGTGTGTCTCCGAGCTGGCCAGGCTGTACACAAAACCCCAATCAACCATCGCTACTATTGTGGCCAAGAAAACGGCAATCAAGGAAGCTGTTCTTGCCAAAGGTGCAACTATGTTTTTAAAACTGAGATCGCAAGTGATAGAAGATGTTGAGAGACTGTTATTGGTGTGGATAAACGAAAAACAGATGGCAGGAGATAGCATCTCTCAAGCAATCATATGTGAAAAGGCTAGGAAGTTGCATGAGGATTTAATTAGAAAAATGCCAGCAACTAGTGATGATGTGAGTGAATTTAAGGCCAGCAAAGGTTGGTTTGAGAGATTTAAGAATCAAAGTGGCATACATAGTGTGATAAGGCATGGTGAGGCTGCCAGTTTGGACCAAAAAGCAGCTGAAAAATATGTGCAGGAATTCAAGGAGTACATAGACAGTGAAGAATTGAAACCTGAACTAGTGTTTAATTGTGGCACTGACAATGTTGTGAAACACTTTAGGAATGTCATAAAGGAACGGGAGGTACAGGCCTCTATGGACAGATATGTTGTGCAACAGAGGTCCAGTGACTCTCAAGCTGGTCCTAGTGGCATTAAAAGAAGAAGGGAAGTAACCCCGAAAAAGGACTTGCCACTTCAAGTCCTAATGGAAGGGGATTCCCCTTCTAAACACTAAGACCATCAACACACTCCCCTCTTCCCATCCCATCAATCATCACCAGATCTTCAATAAAGGTAAGTGTCATGCAACTGTGCATGTCTTCTTCAGTTTGTGTGTATTAAAATTAATATTTCATATGTTAAAATTTCTTTTTTCAATACTTTTGGGTGTCTTGCACGGATTAATTTGATTTCCATTATTTCTGATGGGGAAAATTAACTTGACTAACGATAATTTTGACTAACGATGAGCTCTCAGGAACGGATTAATAGCGTTAGTCGAGGGTCCACTGTATAACTTAATTCCTTCTTGTGACACCAGTCAAACGACATATATATTATAACTCTGGGAATCTATAGAATGCCCCATACATCTTTGGAATAGTGAATATATCGTATGTATGTGTATGAACGTGTGTGTACATGGATGTGAAAGTGTGTGCTGTGTATTTGCACAGGTTATTTGATGCCCATCATGTGTAGGTCCCCATGTATCTGTGATTAATTGTAGTTACAGAAGTAGAATGAAACTTGGTTTTCTATTTTCTGTAAAATATTGGATGCAGTTGAGCACAAAATATATAAATATCTTTATTTTGAATACTATACAGAATGATTTATTGGAAGATCTCATTACAATAAACTACCACTTGATTTATTGTAGGGTCTTATTACAACAAACTACTTGATTTATAAAGAAATGTTTTCTATTGTGCTTTTAGCACCACATTTTTCTACAATTGTATCCTCCTAATGGAGGATCTGTTAGCATTTTTTCGTTATCTTATGTGTTGTCACATCTCTCTTCCAAATATTTGCCAGCGAAGGCCTTTTTTGACTAAGAAAATCATACATTTTCAACTCTAGGGCCTTTATTTATGTAGTATATTTTAAATATAGGACACCACACTACATATGTAGAGCTTCACAACATATATATGTAATTTATTTGACAGTTTGTGTGATCCATTTGATTACATGAATGTAATCATTAAGAAGTAATCACTTTAATACTAATTATTTCTTTTAACTTACTCCATAGGCTGTTTTCTCATTTTATATTTTTCATATGACCTGCTTTTGGTTTATTCATTTTGAATTATGTGGCTCATATCTATATTAAATTCTATCAGTCATTTGTCTCTAAGTTGTCAAATTATTGAGGTCATTTTGTATGAAAGTACAGTGGACCCTCGACCAACGATGGCATCATATAACGTTAAATCCGACTAGCGATACATTTTAACGCTAACATTTTGCCTCGACCAACGCTAAAAAAAACTTGACTAATGATATTCATTCTCGGGTACCAATTAATATCGTTAGTCGAGGGTCCACTGTATTGTTATACCAACGCTCTTATATGGGTGTGAGGCATGGGTGGTGAATGTTGCAACAAGGAGAAGGCTGGAGGCAGTGGAGATGTCATGTCTGAGGGAAATGTGTGATGTGGATATAATGCAGAGAATTTGTGGTTTGGAAATTAGGAGGAAGTGCAGGATTACCAAAACTATTATCCAGAGGGCTGAGGAGGGGTCGTTGAAGTGGTTTGGACATGTAGAGAGGGCGGAACAAAATAGAATGACTTCGAGAGTGTATAAATCTGTAGTGAAGGGAGGGCAGGGTAGGGGTCGGCCTAGGAAAGATTGGAGGGAGGGGATAGAGGAGGTTTTGTGTGAGAGGGGCAATAGGAGCAAATGGAGGCAAATAGTTTTTAGGACTTGACGTACTGTTGGAGTGTGAGCAAAGTAACATTTATGAAGGGATTCTGGGAAACCGGCAGGCCGGACTTGAGTCCTGGAGATGGGAAGTACAGTGCCTGCACTCTGAAGGAGGGGTGTTAATGTAGTGTAAGTGTGCCTCTGGCAAGACAATGATGAAGTGAATGATGGTAAAAGTTTTTCCTTTTTGGGACACCCTGCCTTGGTGGGAGATGGCTGTGCTAATAAAAAAAATAAAAATATTTTGATTTCATATCTTGCATAGTTTTTTATTACGTCTGCAGATATTTATGTGAAGTATATTTTTCCGGCAGATCATTTGTTTAATTAAAAACTTTATTTAATCCTGTCACCTACTTATATTTTCTCCCATAAGGATGGGTTTTATTTGTTGATGAAGCAAAACGAAAACAAATCTAATCAACTACAGTAGTTTGCCTTTTATTTAACCTATACTGTTTTGTAGTTGACAGATATGACTAATAGAGTACTCATTTAAAAAACCCTTGGAATCCAGCACACAAAATCTAGCCATCTGTTGGAGATGGGATTTTGAAAATAACTTCTGGTCATTTGAAAAGGCCACTGAGTGTGTGAAATGTTGTCAGTGAAAGATCTCATTACAGGAGGGCACTGTTTGTATGGGTCTTAGCTTCCCAACTCTGTATGGTAAACAAAAATTGCCGGCAGGTGGAAAAGAACTTTTTTCATTGTTGAATGTTCTAAAATGTCTGATGGTGTGTTTATGCTATCGTAAATTACGTGCTTATACAGCTAGGCATAAAAAAAACAGATAAAATAATAAAATAAATACACAGTACATAAAATACCTTTAAATATGGTGCTGGTTGCCCTTTCCATATACAACTGTTGTGCGAATGAACGGTAAAAGCACCGAACATAATGAATGATGACTCGGTTGAAAGTTAACGAAAATGTGCGACAATGAAAATAGGTTCTTTATAAGTGAGGTCCTTGTGTACATTGTATTTGTGTTTATTTACATCTGATTATCCCCTACCTGTGTAAATTTTGTAATAATAATAGAATAGATTTTGATATTTCTCTAACTTTATGCAAGTTTACTTGTGTAACAAACCTCTTCCAACCAATTATTGTTTTGTGTGATAGAAATTCACTTACAGAGAAGGGCCCTGCATATACAGCACCTCTTATCAGCGTTCCTTGTTTTTGTTGGCTTTCAGTTGAGCCATTGTTTATTATCCTTGGTGTTTTTATTGCTTTTCCACCATTTTTGTACAACAGTTGCATAAGGTAAAGGCAACCATATTTTAAGGTAAATATTGTATGTACTGTGTGTTTATTTTACTTTTTAATCTGTTTTTTTATGCCTAACTCTATTGACCACTTAATACCTGATAGTGTAAACACATTATCAGGTGTTTTAGATGCATTCGATGATGAAAAATTGCTCTTTTCCATCTTGTGATTTTTGCTTGCCGTATGGGGTCAGAAACCTAAGAACCATATAAATGAGGCCCTCTTGTATGTGAGAATGGAGTTCACATGATATGAATGTGTGTGGATACTGTGAACTTTATACTTTACAGTGTAGGAGCAAAGATACACTAATTTTTCTCCTGATACACCAGTGTTTCCTCAGTTTAACTAGTACTTTACCACTACCCAGGTATACCCTCCTCCACACTGTCCAGGCATACTGGAGGCTTTGCTGTCATAAGTTAATATACAAATAACCCACAAATAGGAGAGAGAGAAGCTTACGATGATGTTTCTGTCCGACTTTGGTCCAATAACCCGCACATAGGAGAGAGAAGCCGAAGACGATGTTTTGGTCTGACTTTGCTCCAAGTTGGACCAAAACATCATCATAAGCTTTTCTCTCCTATGTGCGGGTTATTTGTATATTGTTACAGTCATGATATTGTGCTTTTTTGTTCTTCAGAGTTAATACAAGTACATATTGTATAAGGCAGTTAAGAACAGTGTGGGTTTTGCTATAGCATGGTTTACAATTTCTAAGTTTTTAATAGTTAAATTATATTTTAGCAATTGTGCGTTAGTGAACTGCATTACTCGCAGCAGTATAAGCACACACACAGCAGGAGTACTCGGGGTATGGGGTACAGGAGGCATATTAATGCATGCTGCAGTATTATTTCAGCTTTGATGGATTACATTTAACACACAACAGTTTTAACCCTTAAACTGTCCAAACGTAGATCTATGTTCACGTGTGTGGCGCTCCGACCTTGATTTTCCCCATTTGAAAGCATGTAAAAAAAAAAAAAAGTAGATCTACGTTTGGAGCCCCCCGCATGTGGACATAGATCTACGTTTGGAGCCCCCGCACGTGGACGTAGATCTACATTTGGAGCCCCCCGCACGTGGACGTAGATGTACGTTTGGACAGTTTAAGGGTTAAACAGAGCAGTTTTACATAGGCAATTTTCTTAGCACCTGTTAACTGCACTATGCAAGGTATTCCTGTATTGTACCTATGAAATGTTTTCAGTTATCACTGGAAAGTAGCAGAAATGGGCCTTGAAGGTAGTACAGTTGAGTTTTTTAATGTATTCCAATGTTTTACATTAAATTTCATATACATGTACTCTTTATTAGGTTTCACAGGAGTAAACATTTGATTTACCAGGCTAATTGGGGAAACAGGTTGCCAGTAATGGCGACTGTGGTGGATAGAGATGAGATTTTTTACTGTGATCGTAACCATATTGGCCAATTTTATAACTAATCCATTATGTATTTCCAAATCCATTAATTCAGAGGATTTGGTTCAGCATTTCCAAAATGGGTTGAATTGAGTTCCTTTAAGTCGAGGGTTTACTGTGGTCCCTAATTGTATTTGCCTCAAATGGCAAAGACAATCTGTAATCTAAATCTTAATAAAAAATTTATAATTACATTTTGAACTTGAAGCTTCTCTATGTTTTCTTTGAATTTTATTGTCTTCTAATAAATTCATTGTAGATCTATAGTTCTTGTGTTTCATTAAGTCTTTGGCTTCACTTTAGCAATTCTTTCCTCTGTGTTAATAAGACACAGTATACAATTTATGGCATTTTATTGAAAAGACATTTCATCATCAGGGACTTTATCAGTTGTGAGAACTGATAAAGTCCTGATGGATGAAATAACTTAGTTACTGACTCATAAAAATCATAATAACACGATTGCAAACAAATCTCGAAACAGGTGAGATTTGAATCCATGGTGAGCAAGGCTTAGAACTCACCATGAGTTTAAACCCCACATGTTCAGTGATTTATTTTACTAAGATGTCATAAACTGCATATTATATCTTATCAACATACTTCTTAGTATATAAAAATCATAGATATAAATTCTCCCCTTTTCCTGATTTATGTTAAATTTAAGGAATAACAGTAGAGCCTCCATATCCACTGATTCGGTATCTGCGGTTTCAGTTATCCACAGTTTACTATGGCCCAAAAATAGCCCTTATTATGCTTAATAATGGCCCCAAAGTGCAAAAGTAGTGATGCTGGCAGTTCTTCAAAAGCCTAAGAGAATCTCTGAATATTTTCCATCATTGAAAAAAATTACTAATTCTAGAGTTATTTTGAATAATTTATCAGTTAAACTTTATCATAGGTACGTATATAAATGGAAAATGACTTATATATAGGGTTCGCTACTTTCCACAGTTTCAGGTATCCATGGTAGGTTTTGGAATGTATCCCCCATGGATACAGGGGGACTACTGTATTTAATGTTGTTATACTGTAACTGTTCTTATGTGCTCGGCACTTTTTTTTATGCTAAAACCAACTATATAAAACTTTGGTGATAGTAAGCATAAACTCAACATCTTGAACTAATGTATATATAGTAATATTATAGTCATGGGGGAGTGCTAAACTTGTATGGGACATACAGTGCCTAGGGAAATAGGAGGCAATCAGGTTCAGTACACAGAAGAGGAGAACAGATCTGAGTCCTTGGATTGGCATCAAAGAACCTCATTAGAGGGGTTCAAGTTAGTTATAAAAGAGCTCAAAAACAGTGCTTATGTGCAACAGGTAATAAAAAATTATACCCTGCCTAAAATCTGAAAAGAAAAAGATACTGATTTAATCCTATGAGGGTGTGTTCCATAGTTGTACAGCTGTGAAGCGAGGGTACTACGCCATGAGCTCAGCTCGCTCAGATAAGCTGTGAACTGTAAATTTGGGCCTTGATATGAATGCATCTATGTGGTAAGTGTGCAGCATATGAAACAAATCCTGCAGCATGCAGTGCATAATGAGAAAAAAATGCAGCCGTATTTTTGGATTATAACAGTGACTTTGCATGCTTTTTGTGGTTGTATTTGCAGTTTCTTGGTCACATTTGATAGATTGAAAGATATATTACAGAAATAGCGATGATTTTCATTGGTTTTTGTACTGAAAATGGCTTGAAACTGAGCTCAAAGTAGTGTAAATGTTCGATTTTTGCTGATGTTCCAGAGTAAACAAATGATCGTCACACATCCAATACATGTCAGCTGGTGGGTCTAATGTACATTCACAAATGTGCTGATATTATATATACAATTATTACAATATTGCATAACAGTAAATCTTCTATTTTTTGGTGTGAATAAAAATTCATTATGTGAATAAAAAATCAAAATGGAATTCATTTGTAAAGCCTGGAGATGTAACTAATAAACAGAGGAAATGTTATTTTAGTGCCAGGAATGTCTGCATTGTTTATTCTGGATCCTGTTTTGAAACAGGAATATTTTGAACTTTGTGTAAAATTGGCTAAATTACCAATTTCCAATCACTCTGTTGAGTAGTTGAAATGGTTGGTTGAGCGATTTCTTGTTCTCAATCCATAAAAAAGAAGTAATACTAGCAAAATGGCTAAGAACTTGGTTGACTGGAATAATGTAATTAGCATAAAATGGGAGTCAAAGTGGGCAAAATCGCTGATGCATGAATACCGTTGATGCAGCAAAATTTGCGTATAATTTTGTCAGATTTCCATCAAATTAAATACTTTTTGTTTTATTACCTTCAGAAAAAGATTCTCTACCATTTCATTAAAATAATTTTTTTTTTTTTTAAATTCTTGGACCCTGTAGACAAGTTTCAGATCGGGGGTCTGGACCCTGAAAGAGTTAAAAAAAAAAATTATTTGTATAAATCTTTTAGGAATTGTTACCAATGTTTAAATGTTGAGTTCACCTTTACTATCAACAGTGCCAGCAATGTTGTGCTTTATTCTGATTTGTTGTTCTTCCTTTTTAGCACTTTCAGTTTTTTTTCAATGCATCCAAATAAATTTGTTTTGTACCTCTCACCAAATTTATAATACCCATTTTTTATTATGTGTGTGCGTGTATGTGTGTGTGTGTGTGTGTGTGTGTGTGTGTGTGTGTGTGTGTGTGTGTGTGTGTGTGTGTGTGTGTGTGTGTGTGTGTGTGTGTGTGTTGTATGTATTTTTGTGCACACGAACTGTATAAAATATTGTAACTAAATAAAAAATAAAAAAAAAAACACATTTTTCAGCTGATGAACAATCTTCTACTGCTTGATATGATAAAGCTTTATTTCTAAAAGATAAGTTACTGTTTAACTTAGTAAATAAAATAAAACATTTATCGTCTAACATTAAATAATAATTCTAAAGAGATTGATCTTATATATTTTTTCTTGCATTATATTCACAATTAATTATTCAACATTTGGTACCCTTTGAAAAACTATTTTTACTAGAAAATACTTCAGTTTTGTTTCCCATATTATTCAATATGAATTATATATACTTAAATATTACATGTACATTTTTTCCAGAGGCTCAGGTATCAAATGCTAATCTTTGTAATGCACAGTTTCCTGGCTAGCAATAGCACGTTGTCTTTCACAGAGAAGATTGCTTATCTTGTATCGTTTACCCTCACTGTTGGCTCGAACGAGCACATTTCTTGTGACGGCGGTCTGTTCTTCACTACTGGCCCTGACGAGAACATTTTGTGTTGGAGGTTTCCGTTCTTCACTGTTAGCTCTGACAAGAACATTACTTGTGCTTTGTTCCTCACTTTTAGCCCTGACGAGGAGATTCCTTCTGATAGTATTTTGTTCTTCACTTTTTGCTTTAACTAAGCAGTTCTTCTTGGAAAGAACTTTCCCATCAAACCTAGGTAAGCACATAAAGTCTCGCCTTGTGTTATTCTTCTCTTTTACCGGAGAGTCTTGCTTTCTGTCTCTCTCCTTCCTTCTTCGCCCCAGCTGGTTGAGGATGCGTCTGAGAAAAGCAGTTGGTCCACCTGGTGATCTGCTGACGTCAAGAGCATCAGCAGAGGGAGGCGAGGGTCACCAAGCATCTGTATATCGTACATCTACCTCCAGAAGAGATGGCAGCATTTCTTTTAGTGTTTCAAATGTCTCCACAGAGAGGCTTGTACTATTAAGGTTTAATTTTCTCAAGCTCTTGATGGCTGCAAACAAAAGAAAGATATTAATCAGTGCCATTGTAGTTTTAAGTTAAGATGACTCATGATATCGTAATGACATGATTGCAAACAAATCAAACCACGGGTGGGGTTAGAACTCAGTCTGGAGTTTATGTCTGTCTGATCGCAGATTCTAACCCTGCCTGTGGTATTTTTTTTTTTTTTTAAGTTAGGCTTGAACTTGCCTAAATTGCTCTACATAACCATGAGCTTTCTACACGCACAACCAAATATTACTCATTTCTTCACAAAGATTGTATGATGCTGAAATAAATCTTTCCAAAATACACAGCATGTTAGTAGCTTTCTTTTGTACTTAATAATACGTAATGATTTTCTTTGTTTTATATTTAATAATTTGTGCAGAAGAAGGGGTTACTAGCCACTTGCTCCTAGCATTTTAGTTGCCTCTTATGACACACACTGACTTACAGAGGAGATTCTTCTCCATATCTCCATGAAGAAAAATATTCTCGTAATTTGGATTTGATGGACAGTAGGCTTTAATTGCTGGCCTCATGTTAGTTCAGTATATTGAGGGGTTGCACAAAATAATCTCACCTGCTAAAGCTTCAAGGCCTTTGTCCGTGACAGGAGTTTCACATAAATTAAGAACTTGTAACTTGTGAAGATGCTCCGAAATAAGCTGCAGTCCCACATCACCAAACTGGAGGAGATATATGCAAGTTATTACAGTACTGCACATTAAATCATATAAAAAACAGGTAAAAGATGTGTTTCACCATGAGTGGCTTCAGATTAGGGCTGAAAAAAATAGCCATTCATGGCACAACATTTCCTTAATGAGTCAGTCAGTGCTTAAGTGTCCTTTACCTACAAGTTGTCAGAATCATCAACAAGTTTCTCGATAATTATGTAACAATTTCACAGCCCATGAAGGTCCTTCAGCAATATACGACAAAGTTGGAGGAGAAGGAGGGAGTATTGAGGGAAGGACATGAGTAGAAAGGCTGTAAGATTTTGGAATTTTAACCTGGAGGGTTAGTCACCCAGGATAACCCATGAAAGTCAGAGCGTCACTTAACACTGTGTCTTATTTCCATTGGGGTCCTTAATACATATTTTCCCCCAGGATGCGACCCATACCAGTTGGCTAACACCCAGGTACCTACTTACTGCTAGGTGAACAGGGACATCAAGTGTAAGAAAACATGCCCAACATTTCCACCCATGTCAGGGAATGAACCACCAACACTCATTGCGCGAGGCATGAGCATTGCTTATCAGGCCACCGGACATGGAACAAGTTATAATAATAATAATAATATAATAATATCTTTATTTACTCCAAGTACATATGCAAAGTATACAAAACACAGCAGACGTCAATGACATACTACTATATAGAAAGCCGCTTGTTATGCTGAGCATTTCCCGCAAATTAAGTCAATTTTGTCCCAGGATGCGACCCACAACAGTCCACTAACACCCAGGATGTGACCCACACCAGTCCACTAACACCCAGGATGCCACCCACACCGGTCCACTAACACCCAGGATGTGACCCACACCAGTCCACTGACACCCAGGATGTGACCCACACCAGTCCACTGACACCCATGTACCCATTTTACTGATGGGTGAACAGGGACAGCAGGTGTCATATGGAAACACTTCCCTAATGTTTTCCAGCCATACTGGAGGAGATTCAAACTCCGGACCTCAGTGTGTGAGCTGAGTGTGATAGCAATCGAGCTACGGGACACCCCACACAATCTAGAAAGATATGTTAGTGTGTTCTCTGATGAACCAAACAATCTGTCAAGAGATGTTAGAATAATACTGACAACTTTACACAATACAGTAATAATTTTTTTTAGTGTTTTAAAAGAGCAATGAGATGCCCTCAGGTGCTCATTGTTTCTGCTTACCTATTATTCATAATAAAAATAATAGGCGAATGTCTGTGTTACAAAGCAAAGATTGTATGTGCATACTAAGTATTTAGTGATGCTATTACTTTTCACTAAAAGATACTCAGTTGCTTTGAGCTAGGATGTAATATAACCATAATCTAGAATAGATTTAACTAGACCTTAATATTTTTATTTTTTTTTTTATTATCACACCGGCCGATTCCCACCAAGGCAGGGTGGCCCGAAAAAGAAAAACTTTCACCATCATTCACTCCATCACTGTCTTGCCAGAAGGGTGCTTTACACTACAGTTTTTAAACTGCAACATTAACACCCCTCCTTCAGAGTGCAGGCACTGTACTTCCCATCTCCAGGACTCAAGTCCGGCCTGCCGGTTTCCCTGAATCCCTTCATAAATGTTACTTTGCTCACACTCCAACAGCACGTCAAGTATTAAAAACCATTTGTCTCCATTCACTCCTATCAAACACGCTCACGCATGCCTGCTGGAAGTCCAAGCCCCTCGCACACAAAACCTCCTTTACCCCCTCCCTCCAACCCTTCCTAGGCCGACCCCTACCCCGCCTTCCTTCCACTACAGACTGATACACTCTTGAAGTCATTCTGTTTCGCTCCATTCTCTCTACATGTCCGAACCACCTCAACAACCCTTCCTCAGCCCTCTGGACAACAGTTTTGGTAATCCCGCACCTCCTCCTAACTTCCAAACTACGAATTCTCTGCATTATATTCACACCACACATTGCCCTCAGACATGACATCTCCACTGCCTCCAGCCTTCTCCTCGCTGCAACATTCATCACCCACGCTTCACACCCATATAAGAGCGTTGGTAAAACTATACTCTCATACATTCCCCTCTTTGCCTCCAAGGACAAAGTTCTTTGTCTCCACAGACTCCTAAGTGCACCACTCACTCTTTTTCCCTCATCAATTCTATGATTCACCTCATCTTTCATAGACCCATCCGCTGACACGTCCACTCCCAAATATCTGAATACGTTCACCTCCTCCATACTCTCTCCCTCCAATCTGATATTCAATCTTTCATCACCTAATCTTTTTGTTATCCTCATAACCTTACTCTTTCCTGTATTCACCTTTAATTTTCTTCTTTTGCACACCCTACCAAATTCATCCACCAATCTCTGCAACTTCTCTTCAGAATCTCCAAGAGCACAGTGTCATCGGCAAAGAGCAGCTGTGACAACTCCCACTTTGTGTGTGATTCTTTATCTTTTAACTCCACGCCTCTTGCCAAGACCCTCGCATTTACTTCTCTTACAACCCCATCTATAAATATATTAAACAACCACGGTGACATCACACATCCTTGTCTAAGGCCTACTTTTACTGGGAAAAAATTTCCCTCTTTCCTACATACTCTAACTTGAGCCTCACTATCCTCGTAAAAACTCTTCACTGCTTTCAGTAACCTACCTCCTACACCATACACTTGCAACATCTGCCACATTGCCCCCTATCCACCCTGTCATACGCCTTTTCCAAATCCATAAATGCCACAAAGACCTCTTTAGCCTTATCTAAATACTGTTCACTTATATGTTTCACTGTAAACACCTGGTCCACACACCCCCTACCTTTCCTAAAGCCTCCTTGTTCATCTGCTATCCTATTCTCCGTCTTACTCTTAATTCTTTCAATTATAACTCTACCATACACTTTACCAGGTACACTCAACAGACTTATCCCCCTATAATTTTTGCACTCTCTTTTATCCCCTTTGCCTTTATACAAAGGAACTATGCATGCTCTCTGCCAATCCCTAGGTACCTTACCCTCTTCCATACATTTATTAAATAATTGCACCAACCACTCCAAAACTATATCCCCACCTGCTTTTAACATTTCTATCTTTATCCCATCAATCCCGGCTGCCTTACCCCCTTTCATTTTACCTACTGCCTCACGAACTTCCCCCACACTCACAACTGGCTCTTCCTCACTCCTACAAGATGTTATTCCTCCTTGCCCTATACACGAAATCACAGCTTCCCTATCTTCATCAACATTTAACAATTCCTCAAAATATTCCTTCCATCTTCCCAATACCTCTACCTCTCCATTTAATAACTCTCTCTCCTATTTTTAACTGACAAATCCATTTGTTCTCTAGGCTTTCTTAACTTGTTAATCTCACTCCAAAACTTTTTCTTATTTTCAACAAAATTTGTTGATAACATCTCACCCACTCTCTCATTTGCTCTCTTTTTACATTGCTTCACCACTCTCTTAACTTCTCTCTTTTTCTCCATATACTCTTCCCTCCTTGCATCACTTCTACTTTGTAAAAACTTCTCATATGCTAACTTTTTCTCCCTTACTACTCTCTTTACATCATCATTCCACCAATCGCTCCTCTTCCCTCCTGCACCCACTTTCCTGTAACCACAAACTTCTGCTGAACACTCTAACACTACATTTTTAAACCTACCCCATACCTCTTCGACCCCATTGCCTATGCTCTCATTAGCCCATCTATCCTCCAATAGCTGTTTATATCTTACCCTAACTGCCTCCTCTTTTAGTTTATAAACCTTCACCTCTCTCTTCCTGATGCTTCTATTCTCCTTGTATCCCATCTACCTTTTACTCTCAGTGTAGCTACAACTAGAAAGTGATCTGATATATCTGTGGCCCCTCTATAAACATGTACATCCTGAAGTCTACTCAACAGTCTTTTATCTACCAATACATAATCCAACAAACTACTGTCATTTCGCCCTACATCATATCGTGTATACTTATTTATCCTCTTTTTCTTAAAATATGTATTACCTATAACTAAACCCCTTTCTATACAAAGTTCAATCAAAGGGCTCCCATTATCATTTACACCTGGCACCCCAAACTTACCTACCACACCCTCTCTAAAAGTTTCTCCTACTTTAGCATTCAAGTCCCCTACCACAATTACTCTCTCACTTGGTTAAAAGGCTCCTATACATTCACTTAACATCTCCCAAAATCTCTCTCTCTCCTCTGCATTCCTCTCTTCTCCAGGTGCATACACGCTTATTATGACCCACTTCTCGCATCCAACCTTTACTTTAATCCACATAATTCTTGAATTTACACATTCATATTCTCTTTTCTCCTTCCATAACTGATCATTTAACATTACTGCTACCCCTTCCTTTGCTCTAACTCTCTCAGATACTCCAGATTTAATCCCATTTATTTCCCCCCACTGAAACTCTCCTACCCCCTTCAGCTTTGTTTCGCTTAGGGCCAGGACATCCAACTTCTTTTCATTCATAACATCAGCAATCATCTGTTTCTTGTCATCCGCACTACATCCACGCACATTTAAGCAACCCAGTTTTATAAAGTTTTTCTTCTTCTCTTTTTTAGTAATTGTATACAGGAGAAGGGGTTACTAGCCCATTGCTCCCGGCATTTTAGTCGCCTCATACGACACGCATGGCTTACGGAGGAAAGATTCTTTTCCACTTCCCCATGGACAATAGAAGAAATAAAAAAGAACAAGAGCTATTTAGAAAAAGGAGAAAAACCTAGATGTATGTATATATATATATGCATGTGCGTGTCTGTGAAGTGTGACCAAAGTGTAAGTAGGAGTAGCAAGATATCCCTGTTATCTTAGCGTGTTTATGTGTATAGATTTAATTAGAGCTTAATACAGTGGACCCCCACTTAATGATCACCTCCCAATGTGACCAATTTTTTTTTTTATTTTTTTTATTATCACACCGGCCGATTCCCACCAAGGCAGGGTGGCCCGAAAAAGAAAAACTTTCACCATCATTCACTCCATCACTGTCTTGCCAGAAGGGTGCTTTACACTACAGTTTTTAAACTGCAACATTAACACCCCTCCTTCAGAGTGCAGGCACTGTACTTCCCATCTCCAGGACTCAAGTCCGGCCTGCCGGTTTCCCTGAATCCCTTCATAAATGTTACTTTGCTCACACTCCAACAGCACGTCAAGTATTAAAAACCATTTGTCTCCATTCACTCCTATCAAACACGCTCACGCATGCCTGCTGGAAGTCCAAGCCCCTCGCACACAAAACCTCCTTTACCCCCTCCCTCCAACCCTTCCTAGGCCGACCCCTACCCCGCCTTCCTTCCACTACAGACTGATACACTCTTGAAGTCATTCTGTTTCGCTCCATTCTCTCTACATGTCCGAACCACCTCAACAACCCTTCCTCAGCCCTCTGGACAACAGTTTTGGTAATCCCGCACCTCCTCCTAACTTCCAAACTACGAATTCTCTGCATTATATTCACACCACACATTGCCCTCAGACATGACATCTCCACTGCCTCCAGCCTTCTCCTCGCTGCAACATTCATCACCCACGCTTCACACCCATATAAGAGCGTTGGTAAAACTATACTCTCATACATTCCCCTCTTTGCCTCCAATTATGTAAGTGTATTTATGTAAGTGCGTTTGTACGTGTATGTTTGGGGGTCTGAAATGGACTAATCTTCTTCACAATATTCCTTATGGGAACAAATTCGGTCAGTACTGGCACCTGAACATACTTCTGGAATGAAAAAATATCGTTAACCGGGGGTCCACTGTATATCTGAATCCTTTTTGCAGTAAGTTATGATTTGACTATTGCACAAGCAACAGCAATTGCTGTTTGTTTGCCTTATGACCAAGAATTTTGTAAAATACAGTTAATTGTTCTAGTACCAATAATTAATAGCATGCAATTATGAGAGTGTATATTGTTCATTAAATTTAAATGATGGATTTTTTCTATTATTACAATGCAGGAGACCTAAATAACTTGCCACCAATCATGTATAAAAAAGCAGCTCATATGCTGTCCCCATTATTGCAACACTATTAAACAAATCTGTTAAATCTTCAACATTCCCATCCATACTCAAGACAGCAAGAGTCACCCCGATCCACAAAGGAGACGATCCGATCCACAAAGGAGACGATCCGATCCTCAAAGGAGGAGATCCTACAGAACTAAATAACTACAGACCAATATTTAACTTGCCTTTGCTCTCTAAAATCTACGAAAAAATAATACATATGTATACAAATCTACTACTACCTTGTATCCCATAACATACTGAGCCCCTGCCAGTTTGGGTTTAGGCCGAAAAAAAAGCATGAATTATTCAATTATTCAGATGCTCGAATTACTATATACAATAACTGAAAAAATGAATACCCTCTGGGGCTCTTCATAGACCTACGGAAAGCATTTAATACAGTAGACCACAATATCTTGCACCTAAAACTAGAATATTACAAGGTCAGAGGACATTCTCTCGATTACCTAAAATCTTATCTTAGTGGTAGACACCAGTATGTATACACAAATGGCATGACCTCCAATACTCAGCCTGTAGTTGTTGGAGTGCCACAGGGAAGTGTCCTAGTTCCTCTACTTTTATTTACATCAGTGACCTCCCAAATGCATTGTGACTCCTTAAGCCAGTTTATTCGCAGATGACACCACTTTTGTCTTCTCCCACCCAAACCCAGCTATGTTTAGTAACACTGTAAACAGTGAGCTACATAAAATATCAAACTGGATGACGACCAAGTAACTTACTCTCGATATAGACCAAACCTACTTCATGCTTTTTGGAAACATAGCATTAAATATCCAGCTAAACATATTGATAAATAGTTCATCCATTACAAGACACACTGAGGGCAGATTTCTAGGTCTCCACCTTAAATTTCAGACTCACATCCAGCATATAACTAAGAAAGCTTCCAAAACAGTAGGTATCCCTTTCAGGATACGATACTATGTACTCCAAAGGGCGCTCCTTACTTTATATCACTCTCTAATATACCTCACCTGTGGTATCTGTGCTTGGGGATCTACCATGGCCAATCACCTAAAACCTTTAACAACCCAACATGAAGTGGCAGTGTGGATGATCACAAACTCCACTGCCAGACAACACACCCTACCACTCTTCAAAAGCATGAACTCACTTAATATACAAAATATACACACTTATAATTGTGTCTACTATATATATATATACAGAGCATTAAACTCCAATATCAACCCTCCACTCAAACTTTTCCTAGACAGCTTCAACAGAACACACAGGCATAACACGAGGCACAAAACACTTTCTGACATCCCTCATATCTGTCTCGCACTGTGCAAAAATGCAGTGCGCATAAAGGGCCTGAAAATCTGGAACTCTTTGCCCGAAACAGCAAGAGGTCCCCTGCCCACAAATCAGTTTAGAACTACTCAAAAATCATCTTATCTCTCAGTAACAATGCTAGACTCTAACCAGATGTAAAGCAACTCTCCCAAATATTTTATTATCCATTAATTAAGTCATTGTTCATTATGTTCTGTGGTTTTGCTACTTTTCTGCCATTTTCATATAACAGTTGCATAAGGAAAGGGTGACATCTGGCACCATATTTGAATGTCACTATTGTTTGTATTGTGTAATCATTTTCACTTTTTTCTCTTTTTTTTATTCCTAGCTGTATTGAGCGCTTAATATATAATATTGTAAACACATTATCAGGCATTTGATAATGAAAAACCTCTTTTCTACCCACGTGATTTTCACTTACAGTACAGGGTCAGGAACCTGAGAGCCGTGTAAATGGGGTCTTCCTGTATTTCTGAAGTCCATTACACAATAATCCATTACATTGAGAGTTTTCTGTATTTCCAAATTAGTAACAACTGCGTATACTATTAGTACTACCTGTGTGGCCCAGAGATTGAGGTAGCGGAGGGTTGGTAGTTTGATGAGCTGCTCAGCGCAGGCACTGGTGACACGGGTAAAAGCCAAGGAGAGACATTCTAAGTTTCCAAACGAGCCTGAAGACAGCATACGGTTGACATCTGCATCAGTGCTCCGACTGGGGAGTGTAAGCTTCCTGGGACCGCCCTTCTGTTGCTGTGTTAAAAGAAGAACCAAAAAAAAAAAAAAAGAAAGAGAAAGATACAATAAGCTCATGCTTCTTAGAAATGCATCAACACGAAGTGTACTGTATAACTAATTTTATAAGCATTTATGCAATGTGATTTACAACTTCATACTTTAGATTTTCTTTGAAATGTACAAATTTATTTGTGTGTAGAGACCTTATTTCTACCATAACCTGTCTCAATAACCTATATCTAGTTCTTAGGTAATCTGTAAGCATTAGGATTACAGGCACTAATACAGCAGTTTGTAATTATACTTTGATTACACACAGATATTTGCCCTCTTTGTTTAAAAAAAAAATATTCGGAGTGCTAGCAGTGAAAACATAGATCAATGTTTGAACTGTTAAAGGTTTAATAATTTATACAGGAGGAGGGGTTACGAGTCCCTTGCTCCCAGCATTTTAGTTGCCTCTTACGACACAGGTGGCTTATGCAGGAAGGATTCAAAATTTCCACATGGTCACTGTGTACTTTTTATTCTCGTATGATTACACAAGCCCACCACAACTTGATTTTTTATTAAAAAATGTTTAGATAATCTAAACTGGTGTTTTCATAGAATTGAACATCTTCCACAAACCTGATCATGGACTGGGCTGTGGGAGGCACTGACCCCAAAACACCCTCCAGGTATAACACAAAAGATAAAAGCTTCCTTTCCTTATTTTAATTTAAATATATAACTGTACGGCACTTCAAAACATACCAATTCCCTGAGATGCATCTGGCGATCAGAGAGAGCCTGGTAGCGTCTCTTTCCTGTGGGTGTTGACTGTAATGTCGTCACCACCTGGAGGCTCTGGTCAGAACCTTCAATGAGTTTCCACTCCAACATTAGACAAAGTACCTGGTGAAAGTAAATATCTAAATAATAGTTATCTATATTATCCAGTATTATCAATATTATTTTACACACTTAGGCTTGTCCAAAATGCTGTTCATAATCATGGGATTTCTGCATGCATTCAGGTGTCACACATTCTCGTATAAACAATGTATAATATGGAATTTGAATTTGAAGTATATTGTGTCAGTTCATTTATCACATTCTTTTTTTACTTGTAAACTGAAGACAGAATTAGACGTTTAGTCATTCCGGACCATTTTCAGGTTGTCTCGTATTAGTTCAGGACTAACTAAAACATTGTCTACTTTCATCCACCATTTGAGTATTTTTGAGAATTATTTCAACCATAATAGTGCAGGTCCCCAAATTAAAATGTTCTGCTATACAGTATTCTGTCTTTACCACAGTGAAGTGACATATAACGAAGCCATACGTCAGACCTCTTTATAACTCATAGTTTTGTTTCTACTGTCACACTTTTTTCTCTTTTTTTTTTTGTTTTTGTGGCCACATTGTTTATTGTCATGCAAAGGCAAGTTTGATATCGGTCTGAGCATTTGCATTTGGGATTTTGCTTGCTAGTTTTGATCTGATGGTAGACAAGAAGATACAGTGGCACCCTGAGTTTCGAACTGCTCCCAACTCTACCAGCTATGTAAGTGTATTATTGTAAGCGCTTTTGTAAGTGTATTTTTGGGGGTCTGAAACGGACTAATCTAATTTACATTATTCATCTCACACTATGTAAAAACTTAATGCACATAAAAGGCCGAAAAATCTGGAATTCATTACCTGTGAATATAAAAAAAATATTGTCTGTTTATCAATTCAAGATTCTTCATAAAAACCACTTACTCAACTACAACTAAATAAATACTGAATAACTGAATCTCATAAATGTATAACCTGTGACCCTATCAAACTATGTTTTTTAATTACATTACCTAATATAATACTTCATTCTCTTGACTGCTCAGTAACTCATCTAATGACCATATGACCTGTTTCTCCACTCCTGGTGGCTAAAGCTCCCGCTTCACACACGGAGGGCCCGGGTTCGATTCCCGGCGGGTGGAAACATTCCGACACGTTTCCTTACACCTGTTGTCCTGTTCACCTAGCAGCAAATAGGTACCTGGGTGTTAGTCGACTGGTGTGGGTCGCATCCTGGGGGACAAGATTAAGGACCCCAATGGAAATAAGTTAGACAGTCCTCGATGACGCACTGACTTTCTTGGGTTATCCTGGGTGGCTAACCCTCCGGGGTTAAAAATCCGAACGAAATCTTATCTTATCTTATCTTATATTATACATTGTTATGCTACAAATTTGTACAACTTTAATGCTTCTTATTTGCAATATTAATTTGTACTTCATGTTATAATTTGTTTACTGTAATTTTTACCACTGAATATATCATTGCTTAGTTAATCTTAAGTTAATTTTAAGCTGCCCATAATGCTCTGCATACAAGGAACTTTTGGCATGTACACCCAATAACTATATTGCACCTATATTTATACCTATGTATCATGTCCAAATAAAAAATAAATAAATAAAAAATTCCTTAATGGGAACAAATTCGTTCGGTAATGGCACTCAAACAGCCTTCTGGAAAGAAGAAAGTTCAAAACTCAGGGTACCATTGTATTAAGTATGCTGGCAGTGTCTATAGGCTGTATGTGTGGTTCGTCTGGTTTTGCTAAGTTAATCTCTCTGCTTCTAGACAGTTTTCTAGAGCCCAAATTTTCAGAGAAAATATTCCAGGTCTTTTTCATATTACCTTTTATTTCATTAAATCTGTTTTCATAATACATTTATTTGGACTTTCGTATTAGATTAGTAAGTACTGAGGTGTATTGTTTAGTTAGTTCTTTTGTAATTAGGCCCTGTCTTAATTGTTTTTCATATACATGTTTTTTTTATACTAGATGGATTTAAGTGTACTATTTGTAAGCCAGTGGCCATTTAGTCTCTTTGTTGAGATTTGCTTTGTTTTCATTGGACAATATTTACTGTAGAGGTTATGGGTTTTGTGTAGGAATATGTTGACACATTTGTCAATATTGTGGCTGTCCTCTAACTCGCTCAGCCAGTCAGTATTACGTTGGGCAGTAATAAAATTATTTACCAGTGACTCATCATGTAGTTAAAAAAGAGTAAGTAAGTTTATTCAGGTATACACAAGTAAGTAAGTTTATTCAGGTATACACGAATAAGTAAGAAAGTTTATTCAGGTATACACAAATAAGTAAGTTTATTCAGGTATACACAAATACAGTTACATAGATTATCATACATAGCAGCATATGTGTAGAGAACCCAAGATAACCCAAAAAAATCAGAGTGACTTATTTCCATTGGAGTCCTTTTAATACCTTATTATTATACAATGTAGGAGATATCTTATTATTATACTATAAAGGATATATACTAGGAATAAGGTAAAAAGAGTTATTTACATTTACATGTGTGTTAGCCAAAAAAAAAAAATAAAAAATCATTCTCCTCCCTTTCTGTCGCTACATCCATTAGGTACCTTTTGGCTGTCTTCTTGAACTGGTTCATAGTATGACTGGCTGTGACATGTACAGGCAGTCTGTTCAATTCCTTTGTTGCTGTACAATAAAAGGGGTTTGAAGCCTGGCCACTGACTGTGGCTACTACAAAGTTGTGCTCTCTCCCTCGAGTACTGTGATTGCTTCAGTTCCCAGCCTTGACAAAATTAGCAGCAAGATATTCTGGACATTGTATATGAGTAATTTTATAAACTTGATTTAACATCAGTTGTTTTATTCTCTCTTCAGTATTCAGCATATCCAATTGTTGTGATTCATCCTGGCCTACATGTTCTCTTGGACTCAGGTCCAGGATGAATCTTACCATGTTGTTCTGGGTGATTTGCAGTTTATTTTTCATTTTTCTTTTTTTTGTCAAGGCAGAGTACCATGAAGAGCAAGTGTAGTCCACATGACATTGTACAAGGGCTAAACATAGGGTCCTGCGAGCCTCAGTAGGTAGATTTTGTGCTTGTCTATAGAGGAACTTCAGTCTGGCATTCACTTTCTTAGTTGTGTCCTGAGGCAGTCTATCCAAGTTGGTTATGATAAAAGTTCGGTAGCCGTCTGTAGTGTTGTATGTGATTACGCCTGTTTTTAGTGGGGATATAGTATTGGTCCAGATATGATCAAGTAGTGAGGCACTTGCCTCTGTGACTCTTGTTGTTTGGTTATAGATGGTAGTAGCAAGCAACTGCTCATAGTGGTTGTGAAATCAGCTACATGGGGGTCTGCTGCTTGAAGGAGGTTTATATTAAAGTTACCAGCAAGTAACAGGTGGTGTTTATTCATCTCTGAGTCAGTTATTGAGTTTCTTAAGTTGTCACTGAATGTGTAAGTATTAGTGTGAGGTAGTCTGTAGACTGCTCCAACTGTTATGTTTTTTTTTTTTTTTAGGTTTCTGGATGTGAATTTTGCAAATACGCATTCACCATATTCCTCCTTCGTGCAAGTGGATTTAATACATTTTAGTTCATTTGTGTAGTAGATAGCAATAACACCTCCTGGTTGATCAGGTCTGCAGTTGTGTGTGGCTGTGTAACCAGGTAAGACAAAGATGTCTGTTAAAATCTTGTTTGAGCCAGGTTTCAGTGAGAACCTAACCTGCTGTATAAGCAGGGCCCTAGAGTAGCCCAGAACCTAACCTGCTGTATAAGCAGGGCCCTACAGTAGCCCAGAACCTAACCTGCTGTATAAGCAGGGCCTTACAGTAGCCCAGAACCTAACCTGCTGTATAAGCAGGGCCCTACAGTAGCCCAGAACCTAACCTACTGTATAAGCAGGGCCCTACAGTAGCCCAGAACCTAACCTACTGTATAAGCAGGGCCCTACAGTAGCCCAGAACCTAACCTACTGTATAAGCAGGACCCTACAGTAGCCCAAAACCTAAACTACTGTATAAGCAGGACCCTACAGTAGCCCAGAACCTAACCTACTGTATAAGCAGGGCCCTACAGTAGCCCAGAACCTAACCTAGTGTATAAGCAGGGCCCTACAGTAGCCCAGAACCTAGCCTACTGTATAAGCAGGACCCTACAGTAGCCCAGAATCTAACCTACTGTATAAGCAGGGCCCTACAGTAGCCCAGAACCTAACCTACTGTATAAGCAGGGCCCTACAGTAGCCCAGAACCTAACCTAGTGTATAAGCAGGGCCCTACAGTAGCCCAGAACCTAACCTGCTGTATAAGCAGGGCCCTACAGTAGCCCAGAACCTAACCTAGTGTATAAGCAGGGCCCTACAGTAGCCCAGAACCTAACCTGCTGTATAAGCAGGGCCCTCCTGTACTGTATTTTAAACTGTCAGAGTAACATCAGTGGCTTGCTGTTACTCGTTCCTTGATTAATGAGAAAAACATGAAGGTTATCAGAAGATTTGCCTCAACAGGGAAGGCAGTTAAGTAAGCCTATGCAAAATCTTATAAAAATTAATGTAGGCAAATTTAAAAACTTTACATTTTATAAATTTTAACAAGATTATGTCAAGATAAAAAAAAATTTGGATTGTTAATCCAGAGGATTAAAAACCCAGGATAACCCAGTAAAGTATGTTCATCAGTAGGGACTGTTGGTCTTATTTTCATTGGGGGTTCTGTAATCCTTTTCCCAGGATGCGACCTCCACCTACAATAGTTAACTGCCAACCCAGGTACCTGCTTACTGCTAGGTGAACAAGGGAAGTAGGTATACCTGGAGGGTGTTCTGGGGTGGGGGGGTCAACACCCCTGCGGCCCGGTCCATGACCAGGCTTCGTTGTGGATCAGGGCCTGATCAACCAAAGTGTTACTGCTGGTTGCACACAAACCGATGTAGAAACCACAGCCTGGCTTGTCGGGAACTGACTTTAGGTGCCTGTCCAACACTCTCCTGAAGACTAACCAAGGGTCTATTGGTATAAGGAATCATGCACAACGTTCCACCCCTGCCAGAGAGCGTTTCCCAGTTCCTCAGTGTGCAAGCTGAAGATACTATCATCTGAGCCACCATTAGTTTTAGTGCAAAATAAGTAAAATGACATATGCAAAATTTGTAATAATTAATTTAATTTTTTAGGGGGGGGGAGTGAGGGGAAAGGGGGAAAGAGTAGGCAAAAAAAAATTGTGTTTTGGGGTTGTGAAAGACAGGAGAAAGAGTAGACCAAAAAAAAATTTTTTTTTTTGTACAGGGTGAGAGAAAGAGGGGAAAGTGTAGACAAAAACTAAAGATTGTTTTTGAAGGGGAGTGAGGGAAAGCAGACAAAACAACAACTTACATCCTGAGCAGTGACATTCCCTCGGAGTGCCAGCAACATACACGCACCCAGAGACTTGACCAACATTCCTAGGAACTTCTTTCTCTTGCAGCAGCATGAAATAAGCATCTGCAACTGTAATTAAAACAAGGGTTAATTATTATTGTTATATAAAAACTAAGTGCTAAACCCACCAGGGTCATACAGTGCTGAAAACAAGGGCGAAGCATTGATTAACAGACTAACAGAGGGGAGAGTATCTGGTAATGTCGACTGTCTGTTACCCCGTTAACTGTCCAAATGTAGAGCTACGTTTTCGAGTGTAGCGCTCTGATCTTGATTTTCTCCATTAGAAATCATGTAAAAAAAATAGATCTACGTTTGGAGTGCTACACTAGAGAACATAGATCTATGTTTGGACAGTTAACGGGTTAAATCCAAGCGATATTGTTTTATCATGATAATAACAATAAATGATTTATTGTGATAAAATATAGTTTATTATTATTGTTATTATAACATTATTATAATCATGGGATTATACAGCACCTGTGGGGGGGGGAGGAGATGGAAGGTATTCAGGCTTAAATCAGGGAACTGGAGCACAGATCCAATTCCCTAGATCAAGAGCCCCTCACCAGCATCAAGGAACCTCCCTTGAGGGGTATGATAAATACAATAAGCAGTTTTATCATGATAACAATAAACGATATTGTTTTATCATAGCAATAAACATTGTTTTATCATAATAACAATAACAGACTTTGTTAAATCCTGAATCGGTTTACCTAGTGGAATATAACAATAATAGATAATTCACAATTTTACTGTTTACAAAAAGCTCCAAACCCATGTGGGTCATTCAGTACATTTGCCGTTAAATGTACGTATTCTCTATTTCTTCTACTAGAGTACTATATATACTATGTAATTTATTGGAAATATATTATTGCATATGAGGAATACTTCCACAGGGTATCCCTCACAGGGGAAATATCCTGAGGAAATGTGAGGAATATCCCAATGGATACCTCCTCTCTGAGGGATGTTCTGTGGTATTCCTCACACTGATAATTATTGACCCTTAAACTGTCCAAACGTAGATCTATGTTTGCATGCGTAGTGCTCTGACCTTGATTTTCTGCATAAGAAAGAACGAAAAAAAAAAAACCATTGATCTACATTTGGAGCGCTACTCAAGTGAATGTAGATCTACGTTTGGACAGTTTAAGGGTTAAAGACAAAAGAAAAACTTAAATAACATTTTTATTGTTCCAGTAAGGTAATTAAAAGTTAAGAAAAACAGAGACTTGATGCTTAGTATGAGGAAAAATATATATCTTACATAACAAGATATTACAGTAGAGTTGAAGAAAGGATCAAATTCTTTGCTGGTATTTAGAAGGTTATCTGAATGCTAGTGAATTGTTTTTGATCCTACCATCTGGAGAACTCACAGAATTTCAACCCTAATAAATCACTGGAGATCATGTATAATTACCTTTGGAAATAGTTTTCAACCTTCTGTTGTATTGGAACAATTTTGCTATGTACATATAGAGCTTAGTACAGTGGACCCCCGCATAACAATTACCTCCGAATGCGACCAATTATGTAAGTGTAATTATGTAAGTGCGTTTGTACGTGTATGTTTGGGGGTCTGAAATGGACTAATCTACTTCACAATATTCCTTATGGGAACAAATTCGGTCAGTACTGGCACCTGAACATACTTCTGGAGTGAAAAAAATATCGTTAACCGGGGGTCCACTGTAATGACTTGATAAAGCTCTACAAAAAGTGAAATATTGTTCTAGTGAAAGCTTACTTTTCCCAGTGCCTTTTCTATTTTCAACAGTACATTATTTGGTATCTAAATCAAATTGGGGAGGAGGAGTATGGAAGAAGTGAATGTTTTCAGATACTTGGGAGTTGACGTGTCGGCGGATGGATTTATGAAGGATGAGGTTAATCATAGAATTGATGAGGGAAAAAAGGTGAGTGGTGCGTTGAGGTATATGTGGAGTCAAAAAACGTTATCTATGGAGGCAAAGAAGGGAATGTATGAAAGTATAGTAGTACCAACACTCTTATATGGATGTGAAGCTTGGGTGGTAAATGCAGCAGCGAGGAGACGGTTGGAGGCAGTGGAGATGTCCTGTCTAAGGGCAATGTGTGGTGTAAATATTTGCAAAAAATTCGGAGTGTGGAAATTAGGAAAGGTGTGGAGTTAATAAAAGCATTAGTCAGAGGGCAGAAGGGGTTGTTGAGGTGGTTTGGTCATTTAGAGAGAATGGATCAAAGTAGAATGACATGGAAAGCATATAAATCTATAGGGGAAGGAAAGAGGGGTAGGGGGCGTCCTCGAAAGGGTTGGAAAGAGGGGTAAAGGAGGTTTTGTGGGTGAGGGGCTTGGACTTCCAGCAAGCGTGCATGAGCGTGTTAGATAGAAGTGAATGGAGACGAATGATACTTGGGACCTGACGATCTGTTGGGGTGTGAGCAGGGTAATATTTAGTGAAGGGATTCAGGGGAAAAAACCCGGTTTTTTCATATAGTCGGACTTGAGTCCTGGAAATGGGAAGTACAATGCCTGCACTTTAAAGGAGGGGTTTGGGATATTGGCAGTTTGGAGGGATATGTTGTGTATCTCTATACGTATATGCTTCTAAACTGTTGTATTCTGAGCACCTCCGCAAAAGCAGTGATAATGTGTGAGTGTGGTGAAAGTGTTGAATGATGATGAAAGTATTTTCTTTTTGGGGATTTTCTTTCTTTTTTTTTTTGGGTCACCCTGCCTCGGTGGGAGACGGCCGACTTGTTGAAAAAAAAAAAAAAAAAAAAAAACATTATTTGGATTCATGTAAAGTTTGTCTGTAAATGAGCCTATTCTAAAATTATAATTAATATTTTTAGGTCTATAATTAGGCTGTCCAAAATGCTTTGCATAACAATGGGCTTTCCTCAGAATATTTAATATGTGCAATGTTTTCTTGAAATGGCAATCAACGTATACAAATGGCAAAGCAATTCAACCTCAATGAATTCTTATGAAATAAACATCTTTATTTTTAAATACAGAAATGTAATAAACACATGGACACATCATGGTAAGTAAGCAAGTAAGTTTATTTAGGCACAGGTACACATGGTAATACAGTGGTACCTCTGTATATGACCTTAATTAATTCTAGAAGGCTGTTCAAGTGCCGATTTCTTCGAGTACCGAACAAATTTGTTCCCATAAGGACTAATGTAAAGCAAATTAATCCATTTCAGACCCCAAAAATACACTTACGAAAGCACTTACAAAATTGTGCGAGTTGGGAGCTGGACGTATACCAAGGTACCACTGTAGATACCTTGGAAATAGATACTGACATTGGTTTAGAGAGATACTAGCAAACACTAGGATATATTTATTAGAAAACATTTTGGTCCTGAGACCTTGATCACTTCTGATCAAGGTCCCAAGACCGAAATGTTTACTAATAAATGTGTCCTAGTGTTTTCTTATGTGTCTTTCTAAAACAGGTACACATAAGTACAATTATCATACATAGTGTAAATTACCTAGGGTAACCCAAAGAAGTCAGACAAAGTGACTTATTTCCATTTGGGTCTTTGTAATATATTATTATTTAAACCCCACATTTAGTCCCTGTAGAGGGCCTCAGTGTGAAGCTAAGATGTACCCCAGCGTGATCATCTTTTGTTTTCTCCATTTGTACTTAACAGTGTTAAGTACCATAACTTACTATTGAGGCCCAGGCTGAACCTTCATCAACACAGGCTAGAGAGGAAGGACATAGGACACTCAGCCATCCCTCCTTGTCATCACGGGTCCCTAGCACCATTTGATGGACTTCACATCGTGGGTCAGTCCCAATTTGCTCGATGACTGGAAGGATTTGTCTGCCAAGAAAAATTATAATGAATGGCATAGTAGTAGTAGTAGTAGTAGTAGTAGTAGTAGTAGTAGTAGTAGTAGTAGTAGTAAAGTATTTTTGTGTAATTTTTTTTTTTTTTTTTTTAACTTCATCTTAATACCTTGCATTATAGATCCATTAAAAAACAAAAACTATGTAGTCTTAATACTAGTCTTAAGTTGTCTAGAAATACTGTGCAGCCTATGTTCTCTCCATTTATTGTATATTTTAAGCAGTTATTTGAAATGTTAACTTGAATTTTGAGTTTAGTGGTACAGCATAGTACTCTTACAAAAAAAAAAAAATTGCACTAGTAATTTTTTATTCCTTTTTAAACAAGAGAATAATAGAAATATACATTGGGATCAAATTAACTATGTCCCAAATGAAACAAGTTGGGAAGATATCCTATACAACATGGATCCGAATCTTTGGCTAAGAAAAAGGAAGAGAAAGTGTAAACTAGAAAGAGAGATGCTTCCTCTACAGGTAAAGGTGAAGAATCACAGAGCTGCTCAAAAGGGCCACTCTATCTGAAATACCAGAGGCACTAGCCAGAACAATAGAAATTATTGAATGTATGATTAAGAAATCATACAGAAGCCAAGAAACACAGGAAGAACTTAAAGCAATAAATGAAATGGAAAAAAGAAGAAAAAAAATTCTTATGTCACATCTAGGGGGAAAAAAACCACATCCAGTATTGAACCCCTGCTTCAGCGTAATGGGCCGTACACAGATGACAGCAAAGAAATAAGTGAGATACTTAAGTCGCAGTATCATTAATCAAACTTGGGTTGACAATTTAAATGAATTTCTTATGATTGAGATTAAAAATTTGGTTAATTAAGAATTTCTGATATAATCCTTACACCACAGGACTTGAAAAAAATAATAAATGACATGCCCATGCACTCTGCCCCAGGCCCAGATTCATGGAACTCCATGTTCATCAAAAACTGCAAGATACCTCTCTCTCTCTCTTAAATGTTTTATGGAGAAGGAGCATAGACACAGGGGTCATCCCACAGCCACTAAAAACAATGGATATTGCCCCATTCTACAAAGGTGGCAGTAAAGCAGTTGCAAAATATTACAGACTGATATTACTAGTGTCCCACATCATGAGTCTTTGCAAATGTTCTAAGAACATAAGAAAGGAGGAACACTGCAGGAGGCCTGCTGGCCCATACTAGGCAGGTCCTTTACAATCCATCCCACTAACAAAATATTTGCCCAACCCAATTTTCAGTGCAACCCAAGAAATAATCTCTGATAACTCTATCCACTCATTTGCAAGTCCCAATCAAATCCAACCCCTCTCACTCATATATTTATCCAACCTAAATTTGAAACTACCCAAGAAGCAAGATTGCTAACCACTTGGATACCCAATGTTGCACAACCCAGGGCAGCATGGGTTTAGAGCAGGTCACTCCTGCCTTTTACAACTATGTACTGAACCACTAAGACATGCTCTTGGATGCACGAATAACAGGAACAGTGGGTAGATGGATCTATGACTTCTTAACAAATAGAACACACAGAGTTATAGTGAACAGAGTAAAGTCAGAGGTAGCTACAGTGAAAAGCTCGTATCACTCCCACTCTTTTCCTCATCCTCATATCTGACATAGAGAGGTAAGCCACAGCATTGTGTCCTCCTTTGCTGACAATACCAGAATTTGCATGATAGTGTCATCCATTGAAGATAATGCAAATCTCCAAGCAGACTTTAACCAACTCTTTGAAAGGGCCTCTGAAACAATGTGAAGTTCAGTAAAGACAAATGTCAATTATTCTGCTGTAGAAAACTCTGGGAAATAAAACTTTCACTGCATGTAAAAGTACAATAAGGCACCTAAATTACTGGTGGGAATGATTGAAGTCCCTTGACCTGTACTCCTTGGACAACAGGCTAGAAAGATGCATGATATTATACACTTGGAAAATCCTAGAGGGACTAGTCCCAAATCTGCACACAGAAATCACTCTTTATTTAAGGAAAAAAACTTGGCAGGTGGTGTAATATCCTCTCAGTGAAAAGCAAGGGTGCCATGAGTATGCTAAGAGACAACACAATCAGTTTCAGGGGCCCAAGACTGTTCAACTGCCTCCCAGCATACATACCTGGAGTTTACCTGGTGAGAGTTTCGGGGGTCAATGCCCCCGCGGCCCGGTCTGTGACCAGGCCTCCTGGTGGATCAGAGCCTGATCAACCAGGCTGTTGCTGCTGGCTGCACGCAAACCAACGTACGAGCCACAGCCCGGCTGATCAGGAACTGACTTTAGGTGCTTGTCCAGTGCCAGCTTGAAGACTGCCAGGGGTCTGTTGGTAATCCCCCTTATGTGTGCTGGGAGGCAGTTGAACAGTCTCGGGCCCCTGACACTTATTGTATGGTCTCTTAACGTGCTAGTGACACCCCTGCTTTTCATTGGGGGGATGGTGCATCGTCTGCCAAGTCTTTTGCTTTTGTAGTGAGTGATTTTCGTGTGCAAGTTCGGTACTAGTCCCTCTAGGATTTTCCAGGTGTATATAATCATGTATCTCTCCCTCCTGCGTTCCAGGGAATACAGGTTTAGAAACCTCAAGCGCTCCCAGTAATTGAGGTGTTTTATCTCCGTTATGCGCGCCGTGAAAGTTCTCTGTACATTTTCTAGGTCGGCAATTTCACCTGCCTTGAAAGGTGCTGTTAGAGTGCAGCAATATTCCAGCCTAGATAGAACAAGTGACCTCTAGGCTGGAATTACCAATAGACCCCTGGCTGTCTTCAAGAGGGAGCTGGACAGGTACTTTAAGTCAATTCCTGACTAGCTGGGCTGTGGTTCATATGTTGGTTTGTGTATGGCCAACAGTAATAGCCCTAATCCACCTCACGGTGGATCAGGGGTCAACGTCCCAGGCTACTGGGGCGTTGACCCCTGGAAACACCCTTCAGGTAGACTCCAGGTAATCTAGTATGTCTTTTTTTGAGGTCTTAGGGATCGTAGGAACCTAGCTCTATTCTCCAATAAGTTCATAACTTCACATAAGACAGTTCATGTACAACAGTTTGCAAGAACATTACCATGTTATGTGACAGTCTACTGTACAGTATGTATATTATGTGGACAATACAAGAAGACTTCACGCTCTGTGAACTGACATCAAGAGGTCATATAGCTATACAAGTTAAGAAAAGAGAGCTCCCTTAACCCATAAACGGTCCAAACGTATATATACGTTTTTACAACAATTGAAAGTATGTAAAAAAAGTAGATCTTCTTTTTGTTTTTTTACATTTGAAAATGTGTAAAAAATCTTTGATCTACTTTTTTTTTTTGTTATATTTGAAAATATGGGGAAAAAAAAAACGTAGATCTACTTTCGTAGCACTACACATGTGAACATAGATCTGCTTGGACCATTAAGATAAGATAAGATAAGATTTCGTTCGGATTTTTAACCCCGGAGGGTTAGCCACCCAGGATAACCCAAGAAAGTCAGTGCGTCATCGAGGACTGTCTAACTTATTTCCATTGGGGTCCTTAATCTTGTCCCCCAGGATGCGACCCACACCAGTCGACTAACACCCAGGTACCTATTTGCTGCTAGGTGAACAGGACAACAGGTGTAAGGAAACGTGTCGAAATGTTTCCACCCGCCGGGAATCGAACCCGGGCCCTCCGTGTGTGAAGCGGGAGCTTTAGCCACCAGGCCACCGGGCCAAGGGTTAAGGACACCAGGAAGTTATTGTTTACAGAAGAATGATACATAAATGAAAATTTTATACGAGAGATAGTAACTTATGACATTTGAGAGTATGAGCGATGCTCTTTCCTGTCACCCTTGTTGTATTATTTAACTGCATATTCAACACTAGAAACACTGTATTATGTAGATCTCACTGGAAATATTTATGTGGTATACTTGTAAGAATAAAACTGACACTAGAAAATGTGTATAAAATTAGTGGACAGTGGTACAGTGACAAAGAATTATGGAGTAATATAACCAAAACAAAAAGTAACAATATTCCAAGTGCTTTTGTGATCTCTCACATTAACTAAGGAATAAAATGAGAAATTACATTACTTTCACTGTGGTTATATTGCATATTAAGATATCACCTGTCTGTTATCTTATTCCATAAGATTATGGTTTTATTAAATGTTACTTAATAAAAATGAATACTAGGAAATTATAAAGTCCTACGATCATACCTGGGCCTAAGTGATGTCTCCTGCATCAATCTAGGAACAGACTTACAAAAGGTAAAAGAATCCAAAGAAGGAAACACATTAATCATCACACATTTCTTAGTTGTCTTTCCAGAAATGCTTAGATAACACACAATAAATGATCTTTTGAACTGAATTTTCTCACTCATCCTTTAAAGGATATACAGTGGACCCCCGCATAACGATTACCTCCGAATGTGACCAATTATGTAAGTGTATTTATGTAAGTGCGTTTGTACGTGTATGTTTGGGGGTCGGAAATGGACTAATCTACTTCACAATATTTCTTATGGGAACAAATTCGATCAGTACTGGCACCTGAACATACTTCTGGAGTGAAAAAATATCGTTAACCGGGGGTCCACTGTATATGTACTACTGTGCCAGTATCAAATACTCATCACAGGGAATCAGATTCTATTCAGAGACCCTTATTAAATAAAAGGATGGGATCTAAAAAAGTAACTACCACAAGACAGGTGTGAGAGCACTAGTTTCAACCTTTATAAACACAGCTAACCTGATGAATTCCTCGTCTGCGAGAGCCACATCAGGAAAGGGAATAGGTTGCAGGAGCTGTGCCAGGCCAGGTCTCCAGTCATCGTACTCGCAGCTGCAACAGAAGAAGAATCTTAGTAAAGTACTGAGTTGGTGCTCTAGAATCTCAGGGATGCAAAACTTTTTTCACTCTCCAGATATTTATGACTGAAGTGTTCCACCAGAACCCCATACAGGAGGACCCCACTTACACAGCAGGTTAGGTTCTGGGCTACTGTAGGCCTTGCTTATACAGCAGGTTAGGTTCTGGGCTATCGTAGGCCCTCCTTATGCAGCAGGTTAGGTTTTTGGCTGCTGTAGGCCCTGCTTATACAGCAAGTTAAGTTCTGGGGTACTGTAGGCCCTGCTTATACAGCAGGTTAGGCTTTGGGCTACTGTAGGCCCTGCTTATGCAGCAAGTTAGGTTCTGGGCTACTGTAGGCCCAGCTTATACAGCAGGTTAGGTTTTGGGCTACTGTAGGCCCAGCTTATGTACCAGGTTAGATTCTGGGCTACTGTAGGGCCCCACTTATACAGCAGGTTAGGGTCTGGGCTACTGCTTAACAGGAGGCCCCTGCTTATATGGCAGGTTATGTTCTGGACTAGTACTGTAGTACTTAGCAAGGGCCTAATGATAGTCTCTAGTCAGTCCTGGACCCAAGTGTAGGATTTTAGTGAATTTTTTCAGCCACAGTATTCTGACAGACACACATGATATACAGTTAAGCCAATAGAAGGTATTCACTGTCACAAGTCACTGTTAAGTTTAATTTTTTGGGGTAAGATAATGAGGGCCGCAATATTGCCACTCATTGGTCACATGTGGCCCCTGGGCCATAAATAATACATCCCTGCTTAAGATTTAAAAGTACATAAAATTCATATATGGTGACTTATATGGTTACTTGTACGTATTGTCATATCACTGTACCGATAATTTAAATCAAAATCATTAAGTACAGCCTCTCCTCACTTAGTGACGTACTCGTTTACCGACAAATCGGATTTACGACAGGCTCTCTGACCAGTATGCATACCTAAATAATGTATATTAGAGCTGATTTCGTCTCTTCTCTTTATTACAATATACAGGTCTCCCTGCACATTCGCGAGGGTTAGGGGATCAAGAACCTCATGCATTTTGAAAATTCGCAAATGTTTGGTGCCCAAATATATTGTAGGGAAATACAATAATAACATTTACTTAGCCTGACAATACTGCTTCCTTAACCTATTGAACCATGAACAATCATTAAACATATGAAAATATGGTAAAATATTGTACTAGTGCCAGCCCTTTTGGTAAAGAAGGTGGGAAAGACTATAGAATTCAAGAAAGAACTCATTACAAAGTACCAAAGTGGAGGAGGAAGTGAGAGGGGAGAATGTGCCTTCTTCAGTGATTGTATGATATATACGATACTAAAGCAGCAGGAGTCGATAAAGGTTATAGTGCCAGCCAGCAATAAAGTGTAGCATTAACAGTGTAGCAAGTAAGTTAAGTGATTAATTGATAGAAAAAGGACAGCACGAACCTAACTCCTCCAGTGTTGTCGGAGTTGTATAGGGTGACTGACAACACCGCCGTCTCTAGTCTCTACCACCTCAACCACCACTATGTAAGGCTTATGTCTCAGTGGCCCTTATACACCCAACAACACCAACACAACAACACTCATGACATAATGACATATTTTATTCATTCTAGAGTACGTATATGTCATGTTATTAATATTGTTTATGTCATATTAGATAAATTATGATAGATAAATAAACCGTAGAGTTGATATTAGTGTCATATTGAAGGACTATCTTGTCCTATCTCCAAACAAACTCTGCCACTGCCACAATTCCTAACATATGTAATGACATATTTTAAATATGATTGGGCGGCTGGGAATTCCTGAATGTTCGAAGCCCGCAAAAGTGGAAAACATGAATGTTGAGGGAGACCTGTACAGTACACTACTGTATAAACATATAAAAATACAGTGGACCCCCGGTTTACGATATTATTTCATTCTAGAAGTATGTTCAGGTGCCAGTACTGAACGAATTTGTTCCCATAAGGAATATTATGAATTAGATTAGTCCATTTCAGACCTCCAAACATACACGTACAAACGCACCTACATAAATACACTTACATAAATGGTCGCATTGAGAGCTGATCGTAAACTGGGGGTCCACTGTATACCAGAATTGTTATAAATGGTGCAGAGGTGGCAGTAAAACAATATCAAAGATGGATGACACAAACCCTCTACCATTATAGTATGCTCCTTACTTAGCGATGAATTTGTTGACGGATGTGGTCTTAGGAACAGAACTCAGTCATTAAATGAGGAGAGGCTGTACATAGATTCTGTTGTTTGTAACTTAAAGCTCTTCAAAATTAAGTACATAGACACTTAAACTTAAAGCTCTTCAAAATTAAGTATATAGACACTTAAACTTAAAGGTCTTCAAAATTAAGTACATAGACACTTAAACTTAAAGGTCTTCAAAATCATTCAGTACATATAGTATATACTGTAACTTGAAGCTCTTCAGTATTGTACTGTGTATTGACACACACAACTCTGTGTAAATTTTACTTCACATGAAAGGCTAGTGACTGATGAATTTTGTAGTGGTGACACAGAAATGTAGACAACTTGTAGGTAAGATACATTTGCACTGATCAAGAAGTGAAGGAAACATTTTAACACAAATAGCTTCTGGAGTCTTATAGGAGGACTGAATAAGTCACTCACAGTGAAACAATGAAAATCATGGAAAAGATGGCATAAATTTAACATGCAGGTGCCATCAGCTAATCAAAAGTGCTTGAACCTAAGTTCCCTAATCAGCATTAAATGCAGGCTGTGGGAAGATATGGCCTGATGTATACCTGGATAGGGTTTTGGGGGTCAACGCCCCTGTGGCCCGATCTGTGACCAGGCCTTGTGTGGTGAATACTTTAATAGGTTCTCCCTTGGTTTAACCCTTTGATTGTTTTGGTCATATATATACATCATACGTGCCACTGTTTCTGACGTATTTATACGTGTAAATTCTAGCGGCTTCAAATCAAGTGGGAGAAAGCTGGTAGGCCTACATGAGAGAGAATGGGTCTGAGTGGTGGGTGTGCACCCTGTGAAAAAAATCTGGGACTCAGTGGTGCATTGTGGGAACGCCATCTTGGTAGTCCATTTTCACCATGCCTTGCAGTAAGAAGTACCTCACTCCTCGGTGGATTGGTCTTTTGTTCCCAAGTGATAGCTATAACAGCCGTGAAAGTGTCAGTTAAAGTGAATTCCATGGTTTTCAAGTGGGTGTGACCGAAAACAGTGCCCAGGATAACGTAATTAGTGATGAAAACCCAGATGACCCACGACCTTCCACCTCTGGTACTGAGCCAGCTCGTTCACATTCACCTGTACCAGGGCAAAAGAGGAAACTATTTGCTCATGTACAAGACTCAGATGTGAGCAGTGAAAGTGATAGTGATAGTGATTTCGAAGCTATTGAAAGTAGTTCTAGTTGTGACAGTGAGGGTGAATATTCCCCAGTGAAGCAGCAGTATGTATTACGTAGCATGCAGTCTGGTAGTGTGTCATATGCTGTTCCAAGGGGAAGGAGTAAATCTCGGAGCACATCCCGTGGCCCTACACCACGACCTGATAGTGAAGATGACGATATTGTTACGATGGGTATGAATGATGTGAGTGAGGCAGCAGGTGGTGGTGGTGATAGTGATGGTGGTATGAGTCATGTGGCACAAGCAGAGGGCCACGCTACTACCGATGCTGCTGACTCTGCACAACTACAACCAGCCTCACCCAACCCCACACTCCCACAACCTGCACAACCACAACCTGCACAACCACAACCTGCATAACCACAACCTGCACAACCACAACCTGCAGAACCACAACCATGTTTCAATATCCAGAACCCACCAGCAGACCGCATCTGGGATTGGCAGGAAGGTGACAAGTTTGTTCCCAGTCCCCATGACTTTGATGAAACACAGAGTGGAATATGGCCATCATGTACACTTGGGGACAATGCTACTGAACTTGAATGCTTTCAGTTATTCTTTGATGAACCCCTGAGGGACATTATTGTCAGGGAAACCAACACATACTATGAGTACACCATGGCAAATACAATTCTCTCACCAAGATCATGGCTACACCAGTGGAGGGACACAACTGTGGCAGAGATGTACCTGTTTTTTGCCACAATAATGCTTATGCTACATGTGTATAAGCACACTGTCACCACATACTGGGGAACAGAATGCCTGATTTCAACCCCAGGTTTTAGTGACATTATAGGTGTGAATCATTTTTTGTTACTGTTACGTATGTTACACTTTTCAGACAAAACATGGCCTGACAGAAGTGACAGGTTATGTAAGATCAGAAATGTGTTTATGTACCTGAAACAAAAGTGTTGCATGTATTTTTATCCCTTCAGGAAGCTTGTTATTGACGAGTCTTTGATTTTATTCAGAGGAAGACTCTCATTCAAGCAAGAGGAAATGCTTTGGTATAAAGTTATTTGTACTGTGTGATTGCAAAAGTGGTCTCGTTTTGGATATCATTGGATATACATTGAGAGATACCAGGAAGTTATTGGGTATCTCTGGTGATGTGGTTAGAACAATGATGGAACCATATCTTGGTAAGGGGCATATTTTATATACTGACAACTGGTACACAAGCCCCATACTCAGTGATTTGTTGTGAGTGAACCTGACAGATGTGTGTGGCACAGTGCATGGTAATTGTAAACATATGCCAAGGTTCGACGCTTGCACTCGCAGAGGTGAGGTGCAGGCCTTTGCTGCCAATGACATCATGGCATTTCGGTGGCATGACAAATGTGATGTCACATTGGTGACATCAGTTCACCGAAACGAAATGGCACACACTGGCAGGCACAAAAGAGAGACCAATGAACCAATTCTAAAACCTGCAGCTGTCATGGACTACAACCTCAATATGCGTTTAGTGGACAAATGTGACATGCAGATTGGGTTTACTGATTGTGTATGCAAGAGTTATAAGTGGTATATGAAACATTTTTTCCATTTTCTTGATATTTCCATGCTAAATGCTTATAAAATATACAAGTTGAGGACCAACAACAAATCAAAATATGGTGAATTTTGTTTGTCAGTCATCAGACAATCACCAAGCACCAAGGAGCAACACCTGCAATAGACCAGCGCCCACAAAATTACCAACACATGCCATCTCGTTTGAGGCCTGGCGATCACTACCCCATACAACTGCCTCCTACTGCTTTCAAGAAAAGTGCTCAGAAGAGGTGTTTCGTATGTGGACATACCACAAAATGCCCATAAACACGCAGACACACTCATTTTATGTGTGTGAGGAGTGTCAAGTGCCACTCTGCATATACCCATGTTTCAAAGAGTTCCACAAGCTGCAGCAGTTCTAGGAACGTGTTCGGTGACTGTACATATGTATATATATTATGGAACAATAGTAATAAACAATGTTTTGTATTGTTTGTGTAAACAAGTTTTGTACACAATCTAATAGTGATAATGTTTGTTCAGTTATTGTGTTGTAAACAATGAGTGTATATTTGAACAATGCATCTTACTTTGGTCTCACAGGCCACATAAGTTACTTAGAAAAGAAAAATATTCGAAAATACAAGAAACCTTCGAATTGTAGTAAATAAAAGAATACCGGGTGGGCGGCATTCGCCGCTGTTGCCATACGCCGCTCATTTTCTGCCAACTTTGCGCCTCTGTATCTTGGTAAGTACTGATGGCAAAAAAAATTTTTTAGGCTTTAACCTGTAAACGGTCCAAGCAGATCTATGTTCACATGATGTTCACTGATGTCATCATTGCTTAGTTCATCTTAAGTTAATTTTAAGCCAGCCCGTAATGCTATGCATAGTATAAGTGGCTTTGGCATGCTGCTCTTATCTGTATTTTTTGTACCTCTGTATGTGTGCTCAAATTTTTAAATAAATAAATAAATAAATAAATAAATAAATAAATGTGTAGTGCTCCAAAAGTAGATCTTCGTTTTTTTTACATATTTTCAGATATAACAAAAAAAAAGTAGATCATAGCTTTTTTACACATTTTCAAATGTAAAAAAAAAAAGATCTACTTTTTTTACATACTTTCAAATGTTGAAAAAACGTATATAGTGGACCCCCGGTTAACGATATTTTTTCATTCCAGAAGTATGTTCAGGTGCCAGTACTGACCGAATTTGTTCCCATAAGGAATATTGTGAAGTAGATTAGTCCATTTCAGACCCCCAAACATACACGTACAAACGCACTTACATAAATATACTTACATAATTGGTCGCATTCGGAGGTGATCGTTAAGCGGGGGTCCACTGTATATACGTTTGGATCGTTAACGGGTTAAACACTCAGTAAAATAATCTTAACATTTTGGTAAGAAACAATAATTTTTTTTTTTAATATCTTGCGACATAGAATGACAGGTTCAGAAAGGGGCCTGCGACAGTCAAAGGGTTAATAATAATAATCTTTATTTCTACATGATACAACTTATGGAGAGCACTTCAGACAACTTAGATTAATTTCATTCCCCAGGATGCAAACCACACCAGTTGATTAACACCCTGGTACCTACTTACTGCTAGGTGAACAGGGACAGCAGGTGTAAGGAATCTCGCTCTATGTTTCCATCTGTACCCGGGATCGAACTAGGTGCAGGAAATTTTTCAGCTGGCAAGAAGATTGCCAGATGAGGCTTTGAAGGTATGCAAGATGATGATGTGAATGATTTGTTAGAAGATGAGGAAGAAATAAATTAGGAGGAAATGTTAACAGAATGCAGTGACCAGATGCAATAGGGACAGATACAGATGAAGATGAGGAACAGGAATCTGAAGGAAAGCAGTTAACATTGCAACAGTTATGTGAGCAGCTCCATATTATTGGTAATGTTGCAGACATTTTCACTAAAGGGGACCCAAACAAATCTAGCAGCACCGCTCTGAAATGGGGCCTGGAGCAGCTAATGATGCCTTACCATCACCTGTATAAAGCACTGCAGAGACATTACAGAATTTCTCAGTATTCCATTATAATCAACATCAGTGGAAGAACCTCAGACATCTACCTTGCCCAGTGACCCACAGCCTTCCACATCAGCCCAGTAGTGCTACACCATCCCTCTTCACTCTTAAAATCATCATATTTACCAGCAACCAGTTAAGGTATTGTATTAGCTATATCACATCACTAGATTGACCTACAGCTACATTATCAACATTGTTTTGGGGACTAAGGAATGTTACCCTATTTTTCCTTTATGTTCTTTGGTTCATTTTACATAACTTTTTGATTACATGCCATTTCCAGGAATGAAACTGTGTTAACCTTCAGTCAACTGTTTACCTGGAGTTTACCTGGAGAGAGTTCCGGGGGTCAACGCCCCCGTGGTCCGGTCTGTGACCAGGCCTCCTGGTGGATCAGAGCCTGATCAACCAGGCTGTTACTGCTGGCTGCACTGTATAATTAATAATCATAGCATTAATTATTGAGCAAAATAATGGACAGTAATATATATTGGAAGTCTTGGGTAGTAGGTTGGTAGACAGCAACCGCCCAGGGAGGTACTATCGTCCTGTCAAGTGAGTGTAAAACAAAAACCTGTAATTGTTTTGCATGATGGTAGGATTGCTGGTGTCTTTTTTCTGTCTCATAAACATGCAAGATTTCAGGTACGTCTTGCTACTTCTACTTACACTTAGGTCACACTACACATACATGTACAAGCATATATATACACACCCCTCTAGGTTTTCTGCTATTTTCTTTCTAGTTCTTGTTCTTGTTTATTTCCTCTTATCTCCATGGGGAAGCAGAACAGAATTCTTCCTCCATAAGCCATGCATGTCGTAAAAGGCATCTAACATGCCGAGAGCAAGGGGCTAGTAACCCCTTTTCCTGTATACATTAGTAACATTGAAAAGAGAAACTTTTCTTTTTCTTTTTGGGTCACTCTGCTTTCGTGGGATACAGCCTATTTGTTGAAAGTAGAATATATTTCAAGTACATGTATTGAGAAACATGTTTACTATACATAACCCATTGTATTTACCAGAAAACCCGAGGAGAAAAACAAGCTGTAAAACATGCTTATACAGGTACCATCCGACTTACGACCGAGCTTGGTTCCGACCAACCGGTTGTAAATCGAACCTTACTATTGAATATCAACATCACATTTTTGTAATGACTTTATTATATTGTTTTATTTTGGTATTTCATTTTTTACTTTACTTTTTATGCTGTTATTACTGTATTTTATACTGTAAGGTTAAGGATAAACACTGTGTACAACACAAACACTTGTTTATTTCCCAGAAATTTGGCATAGAAAAGACGGTTGCAAGTCGAGTGGTCGTATGTCGAGCAGGTCGTAAGTTGGATGGTAGGTGTATTAGGATAATATCTTGCTTTGTGTAGATTTTTAAGTCAAGACAGTGAGGTCAATCAAGGCTTAGAGACTGATTACCTTGTCGTCTGTCTCCAGTTAATATCAAAATGACAGTACCCAGGTGTTGCAGATGTCTGGTTCATTCAAATTCATATTTTTCATTTCTCTTATGTAGTATACAAATAATGTAGTTCGCATGTAATAAAATATTGTTGGGCACAAAAGAAAACCACTAGCATGCAGTACATTTTGGGCAAATTAATCCTATACAGAGTGAAACTATAGCATAATAAAAGTCTGTTCTTCAACTTGCAAGAAGGACAGTAGGGCCCCTGTATCCATGGGGGATACTTTCCAAGGATGTGCCATGGATACCAAAACTATGGATAGTAGCAAACCCTATATATATAACTCCTATACAAACCTATTACAAAGTTTAATTGATGAATTATGAACAATAAGTGGAGAATTATCACCTTTTTTACTGATGGGAACACTTTACGACTTCTTTTAGGCTTTGAAGAACTGCCAGCTTCTCTACTTTTGTGCTTTGGGGCCATTATTAGGCAAAATTAAGAGATATTTTTGGGCCACAGTAAACTGTGGATAACTGAAACTACAGATACTGAATCAGTGGATGTGGGGCTTCTACTGTATATGTCTACATACATGTTGGAAATGCACCATTTTATTCACCAGTAAATCTCTTCTTAAACTTACATTTTTTTAAGGACACTCAGGTAGCAGCTTAGGTTGTTGGCAGTCTCTTCGGCAGTCTGGTTGAGGGAGTTAAGACGCTCCTGGTCCTTCTGTTCTGCTACAAGCACACAAACAGCTGCTGTGCACACAGCCACTAGATTCGGTAAGACTCGCAGATGAGGGCAGGTGCTGGTTTGCCCATGCATGCTGTGTACAAACTCATGCACAACTCTGCGCCCATCATTCTGGCTATTGAGTGCCTGGATGTAGTCTTGCACAAAACGACGCACATAAGGGTATTTTCCAAAGTCCTGGGGATAAAAAGAACCAGCTACAGTACTACTTTGTAATAATAATAGTTATCAGGCAAATTTTTGTAATTTATTGAACATAAACTAAAAAATTTACTCTCAACTATGGAAACAAACATAGAAAGAAGCATAGCCCCCACCCACTTTGTGAACTGGAGAAAATTTTGGTCATTTTCCAACCAGAACTGTCTAGCCTCTGGCAAGACAGTGGTGAAGTAAAGCCATAAACACATAGGCATAAGAAACTTCAAAGTACGTCGTGAACTCTTGCAACTGTACTTGGGAACCATAAATTACATATACGGATTTTTTTTTAACACATCGGCCGTTTCCCACCAAGGGAGGGTGGCCCAAAAAAAGAAAAACTTTCATCATTATTCGCTCCATCATTGTTTTGGCAGAGGCATGCTTACACTACATTTATAAAACTGCAACATTAACACCATAGAAATTGCTGGAGGCCTGCTGTCCCACATATCCATCACAGCCTGGTTGATCTGGCACCTGGTGAAGATATTTGTCCAGTGTCCTCTTGAAGGCTTCTACACTTGTTCCAGCCATGTTTCTGATATCTTCTAGTAAGATGTTGAATAGTCTGGGACCCTGGATGTTGATACATTGCTCCCTCATTGTGCCCACTGCACCTCTGCTCCTCACTGGGTTTATTTTACACTTCCTCTTATATCTCTCACACAAGTATGCTGTTATGGCAGTGTGCAGATTTGTGACCAGGCCCTCGAGTACTTTCCAGGTAGTATATTATCATGTATCTCACCTCTGCTCCATTGAGTATATGTTCGAGACTTGAAGGTGTTCACAGTAATTTAGGTGCATTACTGGCTCACTGTGAGCCATAAATGATCTCTGTATTTGTTCCAGCTCAGATATTTCTCCTGCTCTGAACGGGGCTGTCAACACTGAGCAATATTCTAAATGAGGGAGCACTAGTGATTTGAAGTGTCATCATTGGCATTATTTCCATGTTTTGAAAGTTCTCATTACCCACCCTGTCATCTTCCTGGCTGTCGTGATCTGTGTCCTGTTATGTTCCTTAAAAGAAAGGTCAGCTGACATAATTATTCCCAGGTCTTTTACACGTTTCTTTCATTCTATTTGGTGACCCTCTTGAGTTTTGTATATAGTGTTCCTTTTGAGTTCTTCATTTTTTTCATACCTAAGCAGCTGGAACTTATCACCATTGAATGTCATGTTGTTCCCCACTGCCCACTGGAAAACCCTGTTTATGTCTTCCTGTAATTTTTCAGTGTCCTCTACCATAGTGACATTCATGCTTATTAGTGTCATCTGCAAATGATGATACAAAAGTGTGACTGGTGTTTTTATCTATGGCTGCTAGGAGGATGAGAAACAGCAAAGATGCCAGGACAGTAGTATCAAATCTGCAGTACAGTACATGGTAAGTGGTATCTGCTTCTCTAGGGCTTCTGCAGACTAGCCCAGCAGGCATATTATAGAATTCTGATATTTTATTATAAAATCAGGTAAATTTTCTTGAAAAAAATTAAGAATTTCTGCAATAAATAAGAGGGGGAAAGCGATTAAATATGGCTTTTAAGTACAAGTCTATGAGCAAGTACATGTCTGCCAAACCACGAAGACTGAATATAAATTTGGCTTTCAATTCTGCATACTTGTACACTGTTAAGAACAGTGTTAAAAATTATGCCATATAGTTTGCTGTTAAGCTGTGTGTATTAGTCTCTGTACAACAATGACCCCAACACTTTGTTATCCTAGATAATTTACACTATGTATGATAATTGTACATACCCATGTTTACCTGTATCTAAATAAACTTACTAACACCTTCCAGGTAAACCCGATATTGAACAAACATGCCAGGGGTATGTACGTATATAAGAACAAGGACCGTTTACTTCAAGTGTGTTTAGAAAGAGAATTGGTAATAGACAATGCAGATTTGCCTAAATCAATAATACAGTGGACCCTCGACTAACGCTATTAATCCGTTCCTGAAAGCTCATTGTTAGTCAAAATTATCGTTAGTCAAGTTAATTTTCCCCATAAGAAATAATGGAAATCAAATTAATCTGTGCAGGACACCCCAAAGTATGAAAAAAAAATTGTTTTTACCACATGAAATATTAATTTTAATACACACAAACTGAAGAAGACATGCACAGTTACATGACACTTACCTTTATTGAAGATCTGGTGATGATTGATGGGATGGGAGGAAGGGAGAGTGTTGATGGTCTTAGTGTTTAGAAGGGAAATCCCCTTCCATTAGGACTGGTGATAATATGAAATGTTCCGACTGTATGTTTGGATGGGACCGTGGTGGCTGGTTGGCTTGTAAACACTGGCACCCACGGGACAAGTGAGGCACGCTCAGGCCAAAGTGGATGCGTCTCGAACGGAATGAATAGCGTTGGTCGGGGTTTTTAGCGCTAGTCGAGGCAAAATTTTTGCGTTAAAATGTATCGCTAGTCGGATTTAACGTTAGACGATGCCAACGTTGGTCGAGGGTCCACTGTATTCAAGTTATAAACAACAAGATGTATTATTTTTTTTTATTATCACACTGGCCGATTCCCACCAAGGCAGGGTGGCCTGAAAAAGAAAAACTTTCACCATCATTCACTCCATCACTGTCTTGCCAGAAGGGTGCTTTACACTACAGTTTTTAAACTGCAACATTAACACCCCTCCTTCAGAGTGCAGGCACTGTACTTCCCATCTCCAGGACTCAAGTCCGGCCTGCCGGTTTCCCTGAACCCCTTCATAAATGTTACTTTGCTCACACTCCAACAGCACGTCAAGTATTAAAAACCATTTGTCTCCATTCACTCCTATCAAACACGCTCACGCATGCCTGCTGGAAGTCCAAGGCCCTCGCACACAAAACCTCCTTTACCCCCTCTCTCCAACCTTTCCTAGGCCGACCCCTACCCTGCCTTCCTTCCACTACAGACTGATACACTCTTGAAGTCATTCTGTTTCGCTCCATTCTCTCTACATGTCCGAAACACCTCAACAACCCTTCCTCAGCCCTCTGGACAACAGTTTTGGTAATCCCGCACCTCCTCCTAACTTCCAAACTACGAATTCTCTGCATTATATTCACACCACACATTGCTCTCAGACATGACATCTCCACTGCCTCCAGCCTTCTCCTCGCTGCAACATTCATCACCCATGCTTCACACCCATATAAGAGCATTGGTAAAACTATACTCTCATACATTCCCCTCTTTGCCTCCAAGGACAAAATTCTTTGTCTCCACAGACTCCTAAGTGCACCACTCACCCTTTTCCCCTCATCAATTCTATGATTCACCTCATCTGTCATAGACCCATCCGCTGACACGTCCACTCCCAAATATCTGAATACATTCACCTCCTCCATACTCTCTCCCTCCAATCTGATATCCAATCTTTTATCACCTAATATTTTTGTTATCCTCATAACATAAGATGTATTGTACTTACAAATTAAGTCTAATAGAAATGATTGTTAGAATGACTTTTGGAACTGACTTTTTTAATGTTTAAATTTTCGTCTTGTGTATCTTCATTATAGTATCAGGAAAATCACTACAGTGAAAAGAATAGAAAACGTTAATGCTTCTATAGGGATGTACAGTACAGAAAGTTAGTGGTTCTATAGGGATTTACAGTACAGAAAATTAGTGGTTCTATAGGGATATACAGTGTAGAAAGTTAGTGCTTCTATAGGGATTTACAGTACAGAAAGTTAGTGCTTCTATAGGGATTTACAGTACAGAAAATTAGTGCTTCTATAGGGATGTACAGTGCAGTTACATGATACAGTACATCACTTGTAAGCGATCCTTACCACATTGTGCTTTAGTATCCTCTTAATTATGGGGGTGAACATGTCAATAACGAGGCATGAACGAGGGTTGTCAGTGCAGTGTTGGCTGAAGAACTGACAGATCTCAGGAGAGGGCTGATTATTCTCCAGCAGCGGTGCCAGAGTCACAATGATCTCCTCCGTCATCTGTCGACTCAACCACTTCTCTCCCTGAAAATGTATTAGTCTCAGTACAGATTGTGCCATATATGTTAAATGTAAATTACTTTTTTTTATATATGGAGGTGTGCAGTTTGTTACAGTTACTGGGTATACCCAAGTGGGAATGTATCTCAGTGGATTCCTGAATTTGTTACATAATTACTGAGTATACCCCAGTGGGAATGCATCTCAGTGGATTCCTGAATTTGTTACATAATTACTGAGTATACCCCAGTGGGAATGTATCTCAGTGGATTCCTGAATTTGTTACATAATTACTGAGTATACCCCAGTGGGAATGTATCTCAGTGGATTCCTGAATTTGTTACATAATTACTGAGTATACCCCAGTGGGAATGTATCTCAGTGGATTCCTGAATTTGTTACATAATTACTGAGTATACCCCAGTGGGAATGTATCTCAGTGGATTCCTGAATTTGTTACATAATTACTGAGTATACCCCAGTGGGAATGTATCTCAGTGGATTCCTGAATTTGTTACATAATTACTGAGTATACCCCAGTGGGAATGTATCTCAGTGGATTCCTGAATTTGTTACATAATTCAAAGGTTTTCATTTATAATATGAACACTTCATTCAGTTGGCTTAAAATTTAAAACACTAGTGAAAAGACTTTGCCTAAAGGAAGCTTTGCATTGATTTTAGGCTACGTAAGTTTTAATTTGCCAGTTTTATTGACTGAATTGGTTTCCGTTGTACTCAGTACATAAATACTATTTTGGTGTTAGTCAAGTTCCAGTTCCTGGCCATTTTAAGGGCATTGATATACAGCAGCACCTTGGCCTTTTGTTAGGTGTTAAGCTATAGGTGCTAGATCTCTTGAATGTGTGAACTAAAGCTCTTGGACCTCTTCAAGGTGTTGATCTCATACCTGGACCTCTTGTGAGGGCTGAGTTACAACTCCTAAACTCTTTGAGTGAGTTGAGCTGCAGCTCCTCACCTTTACAGGCTCAAAACTGTTATGCTTCCAGCATAACATAGGTAAGTACTGGTTTTCTAACAGAGTTGTAGATGCATGGAACAGTCTTCCTAGTGGGGTGATAGAGGCTAGGACCTTGTGTAGCTTTAAGAAGAGACTGGACAAATATATAAGTGGGAGGGGCTGGGTTTGATTGGTGTCATTGGGTACGGGAGTTATTTCTTGGGTGGCTTAAGGTAGAGATCGTTTTGATAAGGACCTGCCTCGTATGGGCCAGTAGGCCTTCTGCAGTGTTCCTACATTCTTATGTTCTTATGTTCTTATACATTGAGATATACAGGGGGCTGGGGCTATGCAACATAAATGTATCTTTCTCAGATCATTGAGTGAATGAAAACAAGCCTATTTGCATAGTATTTTTTAATGGTTGTGATCATTACCCTTACAACCCAGTTTTAGACCAGGCTTAGACTACTCTGACCATTGTGGGAGGTTAGCATGGGTTACCACTGTGACCACAAATTGCATTTGTGGTCATAGTGGTGGCCCATTATAGTACATATATAGCAATACACCTAGCTGGATAAATCGTACTGTAGCCAGCTGGCCCAGTGGCTTATGTGCTGGTATGGAATTTTGTGACTCACTTGCCACGAGTTCAAGTCCTACTCGTGTCATGGTTTGCCAGTATTGTATACCATTATCATATTCACTCATATCAATGTAAAGGTGTGCTTCTCACCTGGCCTCCCTGTCCTCACCAAACACAGGTGTATCTCTGGGAATATATCAGCAAAATAATTAAAAAACAGTGATATTGTTTGTTTGAGATCAGAGGAATAGAGTGGAAGATATAAAGAGATTTAATATCACAATCAGGAGAAGCCTGTCAGCAACCAGATGCAGAACATACAAGAGAAGCCTGTCAGCAGCCAGAAGCAGAATATACAAGAAAAGGCTGTCAGCAACCAGATGCAGAATATAATACAAGAGAAGCCTGCCAGCAGACAGATGCAGAATATAATACAAGAGAAGCCTGCCAGCAGCCAGATGCAGAATATACAGAGAAACCTGTCAGTAGCCAGATGCAGAATATAATACAAGAGAAGCCTGCCAGCAGCCAGATGCAGAATATAATACAAGAGAAGCCTGCCAGCAGCCAGATGTAGAATATACAGAGAAGCCTGTCAGTAGCCAGATGCAGAATATAATACAAGAGAAGCCTGCCAGCAGCCAGATGCAGAATATAATACAAGAGAAGCCTGCCAGCAGCCAGATGCAGAATATACAGAGAAACCTGTCAGCAGCCAGATGCAGAATATACAGAGAAACCTGTCAGTAGCCAGATGCAGAATATACAGAGAAACCTGTCAGCAGCCAGATGTAGAATATACAGAGAAACCTGTCAGCAGCCAGATGTAGAATATACAGAGAAACCTGTCAGCAGCCAGATGCAGAATATACAGAGAAACCTGTCAGCAGCCAGATGTAGAATATACAGAGAAACCTGTCAGTAGCCAGATGCAGAATATACAGAGAAACTTGTCAGCAGCCAGATGCAGAATATACAGAGAAACCTGTCAGCAGCCAGATGTAGAATATACAGAGAAACCTGTCAGCAGCCAGATGTAGAATATACAGAGAAACCTGTCAGCAGCCAGATGTAGAATATACAGAGAAACCTGTCAGCAGCCAGATGTAGAATATACAGAGAAACCTGTCAGCAGCCAGATGTAGAATATACAGAGAAACCTGTCAGCAGCCAGATGTAGAATATACAGAGAAACCTGTCAGCAGCCAGATGTAGAATATACAGAGAAACCTGTCAGCAGCCAGATGTAGAATATACAGAGAAACCTGTCAGCAGCCAGATGTAGAATATACAGAGAAACCTGTCAGCAGCCAGATGCAGAATATACAGAGAAACCTGTCAGCAGCCAGATGTAGAATATACAGAGAAACCTGTCAGCAGCCAGATGTAGAATATACAGAGAAACCTGTCAGCAGCCAGATGTAGAATATACAGAGAAACCTGTCAGCAGCCAGATGTAGAATATACAGAGAAACCTGTCAGCAGCCAGATGTAGAATATACAGAGAAACCTGTCAGCAGCCAGATGTAGAATATACAGAGAAACCTGTCAGCAGCCAGATGTAGAATATACAGAGAAACCTGTCAGCAGCCAGATGCAGAATATACAGAGAAACCTGTCAGCAGCCAGATGTAGAATATACAGAGAAACCTGTCAGCAGCCAGATGCAGAACATACAAGAGAAGCCTGCCAGCAGCCAGATGCAGAGAAATATGGAATCCTCCCCAACAAGGCAGATTCGATGGTAGCTAAAAGCATCCAGGTCAGATGGAAAACTGATTATCAAACTACATACAAACATTTATGAAAGCTGACACCTATATCCAATAAAGCGGTAAATATGATTATGCAGCTGCGCCTTCAGAGATTAGATTTAGATTTTGCCACTGAAGTGGCTGGTTTATCTTGTGGACGGTAGAGCAGTGTGCTGTATGACCCTAATGGGTTTAGTACTTGGTTGTGAGTATAATAATGTGGACAGTAGCGCAAGAGCATATGTATACACGAAAGGCCTATGAACTAGGCCCCAAAAAAGGTAAACAGCAGTACATCGGGATTTATTTTTAAAGTTCACTTATCTGGTATCTTATTTTCATTAATAAGATATCTTGACATGTCACATAGGTTATTATATTGTTTATCTGTATATTCCTCAGTCATTGGACAATTAAGCACATAGCGTTCAAGATAGTGATCATAGGCCTGACCACATACTTTGCATTTGGTTTGATCATCATGTGTGTGTCTCCCAAGTCACAAAATTTGAAAAAGACAATAAATATACATGTACGTCCATTTCCATAGTTTGAGAAACTGGGTTTTACAAGCACAGGTATAGATATGGCCTGCACACCTTGCCATAGCACGATAATTGTTTAGGAATGAGCAAAAAGATAACAGAGAGAATAAATGATTGTATTTCCTTCAAAAATAAGCTGGAATTTACAATATATATTGCCTATGTACAGTATTTAGAGCTATGTACAATAAAGCAAATGCAAGGACAAGATAGTATGAGAACCATAGTGACCAGCTGTTAAGGTAAGTCTGCCAAGGCTGCTTCATAAGTGTACCACATTACTTCACAGCTTTGACTGGCTGGTTGAACCAAGGTACTTGTAAAACGACGGGGTCCCCGCTCGTTAAACCCTTAGCACCTGGTTCGCTGGTCAGGAGGCATGCTTATATGGATGTTTGACATACGCCAAATAAAATGTAATATTCTCATAGCATGCCACACCTGGCTCATTGAAAAAGTGCACATCGAAACTCATGAAAAAAGACATAATACAGTGGACCCCCGGTTAACGATATTTTTTCATTCCAGAAGTATGTTCAGGTGCCAGTACTGACCGAATTTGTTCCCATAAGGAATATTGTGAAGTAGATTAGTCCATTTCAGACCCCCAAACATACACGTACAAACGCACTTACATAAATACACTTACATAATTGGTCTCATTGGGAGGTGATCGTTAAGCGGGGGTCCACTGTACTCATGAAAACTAAAGATCTTGGAACAGCTAGTTTTCTGCGGTGTAAATGATTTTAGAAAACCAACAAGTTGAAGAATAAGACACTTGTGCAACATTTGGGAATCTTTATTGAAGAAACTTGTCGCTAGCCAGTGGCTTCTTCAGTCCAATACAGGGTAGAACAGTGGAAGATGAAGAGTAGTTTGAGGTAATCAGTCCTAAAGACTGGAGTCAATGTGCTTAGTCCGTCAGTGTTGAGATTGATGGACTGAACATTGTATGTTGTGGGTGGGGAACACTGGGTGTTGTGGGTGGGGAACACTGGGTGTTGTGGGTGTGATACACTGGGTGTTGTGGGTGTGATACACTGGGTGTTGTGGGTGGGGAGCACTGGGTGTTGTGGGTGTGATACACTGGGTGTTGTGGGTGTGATACACTGGGTGTTGTGGGTGTGATACACTGGGTGTTGTGGGTGGGGAACACTGGGTGTTGTGGGTGT